TCCCAAATTTCAAAGACCTGAAAATCATGTAAATAAATGGATGTATTTCATCATATCTTGTGTTATTCCATCTTTGAACTGTTGATGAAAGGTACATGATTTTTTTTTTTTTAAAATGTATTTAAAATGATAAAAATTTGCTTGGAAGGACTGACATATTTTATAGAAATAGTTTCCTTTCATTTTGAAGTAATATTAAAGTTTCGGAAGAAAAAAAGTTGACAAATTATGTAAAAATACTGCACCTTCTACTTGTTTGCACAATTTTCCCTCCGTTACTTTTCCCTCCGTTACCATGACCTTTCTTAATAAAAAATCTCATGACTCAAAAAGTAAGAGGTTTTTCAACCTAATCTTGTACCATATGGTAGAAAACTATATGAAGCAAATATTCAAACCAGTTTGTTAAGGATATGTAAGTGAGAACCAAGAGTTATCACTGTTTGGATTTATTGCCCAAAAAGTGCTGCATATTTCATTCCCTCCGTTACCGACATGAGTTTTTATTTTTTGTCAACAACTTGAAAGAATATCACAGGTTTAACTTTACCCTGTTGGAGTGTTAACTCTTTCCTACATTCTGATACTTTACTTATTTCAATAGTCCCTCTAGTTTCTGAATAAGAGACATTTGAATGTAAAAAATCTGCCCGTTTCCCTCCGTTACCACTTGACCAGACCCATAGACCATGATCCTTTGCTCCATTTCAGTGCAATCTACCAGAAGAAACAGTTCTAAACACTTTTAAGCACTTTGGATTAAGTCTTCTCAAAGCATTTGGCAAGACATCTAATCCCCTTTTTGCATTTATGGAGTTCGCAAACTTCCGAAGCCCATTTCTCGAGCCGTTTTCCGCTGTTAGGATCCAACAACCACACAATTACAATGTCCGAATCCCAAAACATCACAACCAGAAACAAAAGTGATATGTTTCAAAAGACTTGAAAAGATCGGCTTTGACAATAGATGCATCGCAATGGGAACTCAAAACATGGCGGTTTAAAGCTCCCTTTTTCGGAAAATCCTTCCCAGTATGCATTGCGCGACGACCGGAAGTCCGAAATTCGTGACGCGTGTATTCTCACATAACCACTGAGAAAGTACAGAGCGCACCGTGATCCAGATACTGTCGATACGATATGACAACAAGGCTAAACATGACAAAACGTGAAAACACCTTGAAATAACCATGATTTTTGTATTTCGACCCAATCTCCGGTCCAATGACTCCGTGACGCTCCCTGTTCCCCTGCGCCGCGAGCCCCGCCCTCCGCCGTTTTGATGTTGTCAGTGTGGATCAGGCCTCGCCCGCATCACAATCGCAGGGGCCGTCCCGCCGTGGCAGCTCATTCACGCGCAGCTGGCAAACGATTAGACACACGGAATCAAAGTGGAGCACGCGGCGGACGTTTTGTGTGAAAGACCATCAAAAAAAGAGCGTGGCGGACCGGGGCGTTTGATTGGAGCTGCCAGGTTCCATTAGGGGGCTGAGGGCTGAGGAGGACAGGGGGAGACGGGAGTGTGGCGTCTGGGTAATCTGTCATCAACACCCAGGAGACACCCACCACCCACGGACACCCCCCACCTCGTCCACGAGACCCCCACCTCGTCAACAAGACCCCCACCTCATTCACAAGACCCCACCCCGTCCACGGAGACCCCCACTGGAAAAAAACAACAACAATATCTAGGTTAGTTAAAATGACTTAAATTAAGACAAAAAAAAAACATCACGTTATTTGAGTAGATTCAACTCGACAAGTAAAATTATCTACAAATATCTATCAAGCAACATTAGATTTTTTTGTTTTGTTTCTTATTTTAAGTGCAGCAAGATGTATTTTCATATTTTAAGTACAAAAAGTCTTGTTCCACTGGTAGATATTTTTTCTTGTCAAGTGAAATTTACTCAAAACTTTCTTAATTCAAGTCATCTTAACTTTGCTAGATTTTGTTTTTTGCAGTGCCCACCCCAGCTACGAGACTCCCATCCTGTTCATCCTGAGACCCCACTGGAAAAAAACAATACCTAGGTAAGTTTAAAATGACTTAAATTAAGAAAAAATTACGTTATTTGAGTAGATTCAACTTGAAAAGTAAAATTATCTACCAGTGGAATAAGTGTGTTTTTGTTAATTCAAGCAACATTTGATTTTGTTTTCTTATTTCAAGTGCAAAAAAGTTTCTTATAGTGAGGTGTATTTTCATATTTTAAGTACAAAAAGTCTTGTTCCACTGGCAGATCATTTTTCTTGTCATGTGAAATTTACTCAAATCATGATAAAACTTTAATTCGAGTCATCTTAACTTGGCTAGATTTTGTTTTTTGCAGTGCCCACCTCATCCACAAGAACCCCACTAGAAAAAAAAACAATATCTAGGTAAGTTAAAATGACTTAAATTGAGAAAAAAATGCTTTATTTGAGTAGATTCAACTCAACAAGTAAAATGATCTACCAATGCAATAAGTGTGTTTTTCTTAATTCAGGCAACATTCGATTTTGTTTATTTCAAGTGCAAAAAGTTTCTTATTTTAAGTGTAGCAAGATGTATTTTCATATTTTAAGTACAAAAAGTCTTGTTCCACTGGCAGATCATTTTACTTGTCAAGTGAAATTTACTCAAATCATGCTAAAACTTTCTTAATTCAAGTCATCTTAACTTTGCTAGATTTTGTTTTTTTGCAGTGCCCACCTCATCCACAAGAACCCCAGCCTGCCCACGAGACCCCCACCCGTCCACGAGACCCCAACCCCGTCCACAGAGGACTTGGATATTCATAGCCTGGTTCAGATGGAGGAAATGTCTATTGTTCAGATTAATCACTTTGTGTTGAGTATCTCCAGAGACCAGTTCCTACACTGGCCCAAAAACGTGACAGACTTTGTACAAAAATCGTACAATATACTGTAGTTTCACTGAGTAAATTATTATTGTTATTATCTAATGATGTTGTGGATGAAAAAATGTTAAGAAAAAAAACACAATTTTTCTTCTTTTAAAGTGCCTGATATTACCCTGTTACCCTGTTGTTGGTTGTAATGGTGTTTTCTCGTCACAAACAGACCTGGAGTTGTGATTTGTTTCATTCACACAAGTTTAACACACAAACTCTGCAGATTTAGACTAAGTTCTTCTCTCAAATAGAAAACACTCCGTTCCGCTTTGTTTTTCATCTTCACACACCTTCACTAGAATCATTTGGATGATTTCAGCCCTCGAAATTGCCAATCTCTACTGAACTAAAGACAAAACGTGAAACGCTAACCCTTCATGACATCACAAGGTGAAACAGAACATTTTGAGCTTTGGGCATGTCGACAGACTAAGTAACCAGGATTACTCAAACATTTGTGAATAAAACAAAATTACAACTCCTGGTTTGTTTTTGAGGCGGTAACAACATTAAAACATGGCTTAAAGATCACAAGAGTCAATTTTGTTTAATATAAGACCTTTAAAATATAAATACGCTAAACAAGCTCAATTTTGCTAAAGAATTTTAAAATTGTGAATTAATAAATTGCCACTGTGGTAAAATGGAGTGTATTTCTGTACGTACATGTTAGAAAATATGAAATTTCTGAGCAGGTGTCCAAAATACGTCTCCTTACACCAACAAGAAGTGTTGTAAGTGGCACTAATCGAGACTAAGACCTGTCCGAGACTACAGGGTCCTGACACCAGGACAAGACCAAGAGCTCTGAGGGCCGAGACCAAGACAAGAACGTGACTTTTAAAGGTTGAGACTGAGACAAGACCAAGACCACGGCCCATCGAGACCAAATTGAGACCGTCTTAGTAATTTTCAACATTTATTTTTATTTTACAGTAATTTTGGCACAAATATATCAATGTTTTTATACCCGCACACCGGTACAAATTAATTGCCAACAGCAGTGGCCGTAATGAAATATGATCACACTCGACGAGTGTCAGACCTCAAGTCCGGGACAAGACTGAGTCCAAGCGCCTTCAAGACCGAGACAAGACCGAGTATAAAGCGCCTTCAAGACCGAGACAAGACCGAGTATAAAGCGCCTTCAAGACCGAGACAAGACCGAGAGCGCCTTCAAGACCGAGACAAGACCGAGTATAAAGCGCCTTCAAGACCGAGACAAGACCGAGTATGCGCCTTCAAAACCGAGACCAAGAAGCGCCTTCAAGACCGAGACAAGAGCGCCTTCAAGACCAAGAGTGAGACAAGACCGAGTTAAAGTGCCTTCAAGACCGAGACAAGACCGAGTCCAAGCGCCTTCAAAACCAAGAAAGATCCAAGAGCCTTCAAGACCGAGACAAGACCGACAAGAAGCGCCTTCAAAACCGAGACAAGATGAGACAAGACCGAGTCCAAGCGCCTTCAAGACCGAGACAAGACCGAGTCCATGCGCCTTCAAAACCAAGACCAAGAGTGAGACAAGACCGAGTCCAAGCGCCTTCAAGAACGAGACAAGACCGAGACAAGACGCCCAAAACCGAGACAAAGAGAGACAAGACCGAGTCCAATGCGCCTTCAAAACCGAGACAAGAGTGAGACGAGTCCAGCGCCTTCAAACCGAGACCAAGACCGAGACAAGACCGAGTCCAAGTGCCTTCAAAACCGAGAGCAAGAAAGAGACAAGACCAAGTCCAAGCACCTTCAAGACCGAGACAAGACCGAGTCCAAGTGCCTTCAAGACCGAGACAAGACTAAGTCCAACTGCCCTTGAGTCTGAGATGAGACCAAGAAAAAAAATGGTCTACAACACTACCAACTAGCACAGGGGTCTCTGGTCTGTAGAGCTGAAAAGTCTGATTAATGACGTAAAGATGTAGTGTGTAACTTTTCTGGAGGGGGTCTGCTACCTGCTTGTCTCCATGGTGATGTTATTACTTTGCCTGTGATGTTCTACAGTATGACATTAAACAAATAGATCTTACATTTATTTGCGCGTGAAAGAATAAGAACTTAAATGACAAAAACATATATGTACGTATGTGTTTAATGTAATATTCTCACCTGTCAAATGAGTGGAAGTGCACGGACGTCCCTGGTGCGTCCTGGGCCCTCAGCGCGCGCTCACTGCAGGACAGAGGCTCTTGTCCCGTCTCCACTCCGTCCACAGGGGGCGCCACCAGGCTCCTGAGGATCTCCTTCACGCTGGGGCCTCGGCTGGTGAGACCGACGCCGGAGGAAGAGGAGGAGGAGCAGGAGGACGGGGAGGGGCCTTCAGAGGAGAGGGGGACAGGGAGGAGAGGGGGGAGAGGGACGACAGGGGGGAGAAGAGCTCACACAAAGGCCCCGTCGTCCCGTTGAGGAGCCCGGGCCCCCGCTCCTCTCTGCTCCCGGGGCCGAGCGCTGGAGGTGGGACGAGACGTGGTGGGCGGGGTCAGAGGATCCAGGCAGCTCCCTCCGGCTCTCACAGGCTGCAGATCGACACGAGTTTAAGCACAAGTCGCACATAAAGTCATTCAAAGTGTTTTACAGAATAAGAAACACATTAAAATCACAATACAAACAAATCAAAACTTAAATAATTATCATTAAATTAAAAAAGAGAAAGAAAGACATTAAATGGGAGAGAATAAGAGAGAAGAGAGCAAAATGGAGAAAGAATGTTTCAGAGTTGTTTAGTAAAGTACAGCGTGCTAGAGTGAGAGTAAATAACAAATAATTTCTCAAGTAGAAAAAAAAGTTTTTGTTTTTTTTTAAGTGGAGGTGAGGTGAAAAACTACTTGAGTACAGCCTAACTCTGTACATTTTATTTTATTTTGGTTTATTTTATTTAAATTTCTTTTCATTTTCTTTTATTTATTTTTATTTTGTTTCTGTTTTCTTTTTATTTTATGTATTCATTTATTTTATTTTACTTATTTATGCTTTTATTTGCTTTTACTGTTTTATTGTTTTAGGATTATTTTAGCAATTTAATTGTTTTTGTCTTGCAGCATTTTGGAAACTTTTTTTGTAAAATGCACTAAAAATAAATAAAATAAACTGTGGATTTGGATTTGAATGTAAAATATGATTTGTGTATTTTGAATTATATGTAATTTGAACAAGAATATAAATAATGTGCAACAATGATATTAAAAAAAATAAAAATTTCAAGGTAAAATGTAAAACTGTTTAGTAAATATTTGATTATAATGTAGAAATTTCCAGAATCCACAAATGTTTGTCATTCAAACATTCAAACAAAAATGTTGTTACCTCATCCAAAACATACATGGTGTTTTTTTTTTTTTTTTTTTTTTAAATAATTACATATTTGAGTAATGCTAATCTATTATCTGTCTACATCTTCAAAGCTCAAAACACTCTGTTTCACCTTGTGATGTCCTGTAGTGTTAGTTTTCAAGTTAATAGCTACATTTTACTTTTACTTCAGTAGAGATGGATAATTCCAGGGCTGAAATCATCCAAATGATTCTAGTGAAGTTGTATGTAGTTTAAAAACAAAGTGGAGCACTTCCTGTTTTACCACATGACATCACAAGGTGAACAGAGTGTTTTCAGTTTGAGAGAAGAACTCAATGTGTTAAACGTGTGTGAATGAAACAAAACAACTTCAGATATGTTTGTGATGAGGAAATTATAACATAAAATGTAGTTTTGTTTTGGGGGATTTTTTTGAAAAAAAATTGAATATTTCCAAACAGAAATGGTCTATCTTCTTATTTTATTTATGTATTTATTTATTCATTCATTCAAAGATAGCCCCTTGAGATGATCCACAGCAAGGCTCATAAATATATTTAAAGTTATGATAAAGTTCACAAATTAAATTCTCACTTAAAAAAAAAAAGATGGAGGAAATGTGTACTGTTCATATTAATCACTTTGTGTTGAGTATCTCCAGAGACAAGTCCCAAGACATGCCCAAAAACGTAACATACTTTGTAGAAAAATCATACAAGATACTGTAGTTTCACTGAGTAATTTCATCTTATCTAATGATGTTGTGGATGAAAAATTGTTAAGATAAAACACAATTTTTGCTTTTAAAGGACCGATATTCCCCTGTTTTCTGATCTCTGTTACAACAAACAGACCTGGAGTTCTGTTTTGTTTCGTTCACACTTGTTTAACACACAAACTTATATATTTAGACTGATTTCTTCTCAAACACAAAACACTCCCTCCCACTTGTGATGTCATGTAGTAAAACAGAAAGTGCTCCACTGTGTTTTTACACTCCACACAACTTCACTACAATCAGTTGAATAATTTCAGCCTCAGAATTCCCAATCTCTACTGAACAAAAAGGAGCAGATGACTTTTTCACTTTCAGAAATTTTAGTGCTGTTCTCCTGCTAGTACAATAACTGCTACTACAACAACTACACTAACTACTACTACAACTGCAACTACTACAACTGCAACTACTACAACTGCAACTACTACTACTGCAACTACTACAACTACTACTACTACTACTGCAACTACTACTACTGCAACTACTACTACTGCAACTACTGATACTACTACTACAACTACTACAACTGCAACTACTACTACTGCAACTACTACTACTACTGCAACTACTACTACTGCTACTACTACTGCAACTACTACTACTGCAACTACTACTACTACTACTACTACTACTACTACTACTACTACAACTACTACTACTGCAACTACTACAACTACTACTACTACTACTACTACTGCACTACTGCTACTACTACTACTACTACTACTGCAACTACTACAACTGCAACTACTACTACTGCTACTACTACAACTACTACTACTACTACAACTACAACTACTACAACTACAAACTACTACAACTGCAACTACTACAACTGCAACTACTACAACTGCAACTACTACAACTGCAACTACTACTACTGCAACTACTACTACTGCTACTGCTACTACTACTACTACAACTACAACTACTACAACTGCAACTACTACTACTGCAACTACTACTACTGCTACTGCTACTACTACTACTACTACTACTACTACTACAACTACTACAACTGCAACTACTACAACTGCAACTACTACTACTGCAACTACTACTACTGCAACTACTACTACTGCTACTACTACTACTACTACTACAACTACTACAACTACTACAACTACAACTACTACAACTGCAACTACTACTACTGCAACTACTACTGCAACTGCTACTACTACTACTACTACTACTACAACTACAACTACTACAACTACACAGATATTTTAGTACTGTACTCCTACTACTACAATAACTGCTACTACAACTAGTACCACAACTACTACTACTACAACTACCACAGCTACTACAACTGCAACTATTACTATAGCAACTACTACTACTACAGCAACTACTACTACTACTACAACTACAACTACTCAGATATTTTAGTACTGTACTCCTACTACTACCACAACTACTACTTACACTACTACAACTACTACTACCACAACTACTACTACAACTACTACAGCAACTACTATAACACAACTACTACTACTACTACTACAACTACAACTACTACTACTACAACTACTACAGCAACTACTATTACAGCAACTACTACTACTACTACTACAACACTACTACTACTACAACTACTACAACTACTACAGCAACTACTATTACAGCAACTACTACTACTACTACTACAACAACTACTACTACACTACTACTACTACAACTACTACAGACTACTACTACTACTACTACTACTACAACACTACTACAACTACTACAACTACTACAGCAACTACTATTACAGCAACTACTACTACTACTAACAACACAACTACTACAACTACTACAACTACTACACAACTACTATTACACAACTACTACTACTACTACTACAACTACTACTACTACAGCAACTACTATTACAGCAACTACTAACTACTACAACTACTACAACTACTACTACTACAACTACTACACACACTACTTTACAGCAACTACTACTACTACTACTACAACAACTACTACTACTACTACTGGCATTATTTCATGCATCATTATTGTGAATTATTTTTCACTTTTGAAAAAATAAAATAAAAATAAAATCAAGTATATTCAGGATTTAAAATATTTTGTAATAATTTCACGTCACGATATTATGTACAGTATGTATAGTTTTAGCCTAATATAAAAAAAAATCTCTCACGAATTTGTTCAAAAAGAGAAATCTGGGAAACCGCTCCAACTTCGATACCGATACCGGAGTCGATATATCGTCCATTCCATAATCACTGTATTGTTCGTTTCGTATATTTTTTTTATTCACGCGTAAACACAAGCACACACACCTTTTTCATTCTCATGCAAAACTAAACAAAAACAAATCACTCAAACCTTGAAATATGAAGAAACACGAGTAGCGTCAAACAATATAATAATAATAAAATGATAATAAATACACTTCTACTAATAAATAATCATCGTATTGTGATCTAAACTCAAATCTCATCCCGTCTTGATTCATATGCGCCAGGAAACCCTCACTATCTCATGTCACGTATTTGTAAATGAGTGCAGCTTGCGGACCACATCCTGTCCTCTGGTCTGCACGCGGCGTCTGCAGAAATCCCCCGCCCCGTTCTCCGGAGACGTTTATGAAGACGACAGCGGCCTCTCTTCTTCTATGGTCCCATTCTGTTTCGCGGGCTTTGGTGGATTGCCTGGATAATGCGCTCTGACACATGAAGACCAGAATAGAACAGTGACTTCCACCGGACCCAACGCACAACCCGCCCGACGCAACACAAGACACAAACACACGCACACACGGGTCATGGGTCCTGCCGTGAACTCAAATCTGATCTCGAGGTTTGAGAAATGAGCGGATATTTTGGAATCTTTTGTACATTTGTGATTTTGAAAGCCAAGAAAAGAAAGATTTATTAAGAGCTATTATTAAGAACTATTAATGCTCCTATATTACTCAAAATACTCTTATGTGCGTTGAGAATCTGGGTATTATTTGTTCATTTGTTTTTCAAAATAAAACCAAAAATAAGAAAGCGAAAAACAACTATTTTCTTTATTATTTGTCTCCAAAACCAAAATGAAAAAAAATGGATAAAGATGATTTTTTTCAGTCTTCGATTTTGTGTTTAAATGTGTAATGGGAAAAAAATGACTTTTGCGATGCATACAACCAGAACCAGGACTGAACTAGGTCTAAACTAGGTCTAAACTAGGTCTAAACCAGGTCTAAACCAGGTCTGAACCAGGACTGAACCAGGACTGAACCAGGACTGAACCAGGACTGAGTGTCAAGATGGGACTGAGACCAAACCAGACTGGGAGTGAGACCAAAACTGAGACCAAGACCAGACCAGGACTGAGACCGGTTTAGTCCTGGTTTAGACCTGGTTAGTCCTGGTTTAGTCCTGGCTTAGACCTGGTTTAGTCCTGGCTTAGACCTGGTTCAGTCCTGGTTCAGTCCTGGTTCAGTCCTGTTTTAGATCTGGTTCAGTCCTTGTTTTAGACCCGGTTCAGTCCTGGTTCAGTCCTGTTTTAGACCTGGTTCAGTCCTGTTTTAGTCCTTGTTTTAACCTGGTTCAGTCCTGTTTTAGACCTGGTTCAGTCCTGCTTCAGTCCTGTTTTAGACCTGCTTCAGTCCTTTTTGTTAGTTCACCTGGTTCAGTCCTTGTTTTAGACCCTGGTTCAGTCAGTCCTGGTTCAGTTTTCTTCAGTCCTGGTTCAGTCCTGGTTCAGTCCTTTGTTTTAGACAGTCCTGGTTCAGTCCTGGTTCAGTCCTGGTTCAGTCCTTGTTGGTTCAGTCCTGGTTCAGTCCTGGTTCAGTCCTTGTTTTAGACCCGGTTCAGTCCTGGTTCAGTCCTGGTTCAGTCCTAGTTCAGTCCTGTTTTAGACCTGGTTCAGTCCTATTTTAGACCTGGTTCAGTCCTGTTTTAGACCTGGTTCAGTCCTGCTTCAGTCCTGTTTTAGACCTGCTTCAGTCCTTGTTTTAGACCTGGTTCAGTCCTTGTTTTAGACCCGGTTCAGTCCTGGTTCAGTCCTTGTTTTAGACCCGGTTCAGTCCTGGTTCAGTCCTGGTTCAGTCCTGTTTTAGACCTGGTTTTAGACCTGATTCAGTCCTGGTTCAGTCCTACAGTATTACTTCGTGCATCTGGTCCACCTGAGTTGGCCGGTGACTTGACTTCTTGTCCGCTGGGCCCTGATTGGCCGGCGCTCCTGTCCGTCTCGGGGCGCGGCTCCAGGATGTCCCGGTACTTGGACACCATGAGGACAGAGAGGAAGTAGACCACAGCCAGGGCCAAGAACTGGGACTGTTTACTGTCGTCCTGCAGGAGAAGAACACACGAGGAAGAGGAAGAGATGAAGAAGAGCGGGAATTGGGAGATCTACATATTTTTAAAACTATGTACAAAGAAAATCAGCAACTGTTGCCCACCAATTTACCAAAAAATGGGCTGTGTCCGAGTGTCCACCGGAGTCTTGGGTGACCAGAGTTTCAAAACAAAAACTGGGACATTTCTGGTTTGTGGTGGTTGGTAATAATAAAACTGTGAAACAAGTGCATAACTAAGAAAAATTATTATGTGCTTGGGAATAATGTGAGTCAGTATAGTCACATTTTCTTTGTGTTTTTGGTCAATTTTAAGCAGCTTTTCTGTGTTTTATCTAAACAAATGACAGTTTATGCCTCTTTTTACTGTTGGCAGGGATCAGATTGGTCACAAATAGGGACACTTGGGACATTTCTTGTATAAAACTAGGACAAATCTGCTGAGACAGGGGACACAGGGCTCAAAACGGCACAATGTAACTTTAGGTTACATAATGCACAATGTACTTAAAGGTGCATTATGTAACTTTTATATACTTTTTACATGTAACATAGGCTTGTAAATCAGCTCTGATGCCTCTAGAATCATTATATAAAAGCGTTCTCAAGGCCCACGACAAGAAAAGTCCACCATACCACCACTGTCATATTCTTGCAAAACACAACATTTTAAGTTTTGAAAACCTGATGATTAATTAATTATTGCATTTATATAGCACCTTTCAAGACACCCAAAACACTTTACAGTTCATTATTCATTCACTCGCAGACGGACGGACGTGAGCCTGCCAATCTGCGCCATCAGCTCCTCCGACTACCAACACACACACCACTTTCACCTAGGCAAAGTGGGTGAAGTGTCTTGCCTAAGGACACAATGACAGTTTTTGCCACTGGTGTCCCACTGTGGCTCCTGATTTTCCCAGCGGTTTCCCATCCAAGAACTAACCAGGCCCGGCCCTGCTGAGCTTCTGAGATCTGACGGGATCAAGGCTTTGACAAGCTGATGTGACCACAAATTAAAAAATAATAATAATAATAATGTACGCAAATATTTCTCTGCTGCTCCTCCACTGAAACTGTTTGTTTCTCTGAGCTCTGAAACCGCCTCCCGAGCCGCTCAATCCACTGCGCGCGGCGAGTACAAACACAAGATGGCATTTGGAAACTCAGCCAAGCACAAACTACGGCATTTTCTCACGCCTGCTGAAACAATGACTCTTTTCAAACCAAACTTACGCCCATAATGTGCACTGATGAGTGTCTGGTGATGAGAGTGATGTTCTAGAGTGAATGAACTGAATGGTGATTTTGATAAAGTATATAAATGTGGCTGCTACAGATGATACATTAAAGGTTGTATAGAGGATTTTCCAAGGAACGAGAAATCCAGCGACTGTTTGTCCTTTTTCAAATGTTGCGCATGCGTGAAACCACCCCCCTCCCCTACAGCTCCTACGTAGAAACGCCTCCTCCCGCCTCCTCCTTACGCCAGAAACAGGTTTGTTTACAGCCGGTGCGCTGCACATGACTTGTAAACAACTAACTACAGTGTTGGTTAGGCAAGACGGAGAAGTGAGGAGCGGGGGGAGCGGGTGCGCGGACATTTCGTGCGCGGACGAGAAGTGAGGAGCAGGGAGAAGAGCGGAGCAGGGAGGAGGAGAGAGGAGAGAGGGAGGGGAGCGGTGCGCGGAGATTCCGTGCCCGGAGAAGTGAGGAGCAGGGGGAAGAGCGGAACGGGCAGCGGGGAGAGGAGCAGGAAAGGGGTGCAGAGAAGGTTGCGCGGAGATTCAGTGCGAATGAACTAGCTACAACACGCAGCAGCAAGCGGACTCTTTCTTTGCCTTGAAAATTACGTTTTCAAGACATAGGATATCGCTTTCGTGTCCTGAAAAACGTTTGACTAGCTCTTGGAAATAAAGTACGTTTTCATAATAAGCAGAAGTTTCCTGTCCAGGAGTAATTTGTGCGACCAGTGCGTCAGTCTTTAGACCCTGCGTCTGCTTCAGTTGCGCCATCGCTGGAATGAATCTTCAAGAATCACCTTAGTTTGGCTTTGCTGCTTTTCCCCTTGTCTTCTTCTTTCAGCGACCTCAAAAACGGACTTTCTTTTGCGGCGAACTGCTCCTGGATTCTTGTCTGCCATTGCAACAAACTTTGTGCCAACTGCGAGGAAGATATAGGTAAAAAAAAGCCGCTAAGAACTGTTGCGTTGGTGGAGTAAACAGCGTCTGTGCGTCTTGCGTCTGTGGACTGCGTGACAGACGTACGTAAACCACGTACCGGCGGCGCGCAGGCAAGTCAGTTACGCTAGAAACGTAGGGAGTTTGATTGACAGCCTGTCAGCTCACAGATAACGAGGCAGTGTCGTTATCTATTGGCAAATGTTTAGCCCCACCACGTCCAGAGTTGATGAATTTTTATTCTCTTTTTTTTGGTCATCATAATTACAAGGCTACTGCACCTCTATAATGCTATCATTGACAACTTGAAACAAAAAAAATCCTCCATACAACCTTTAAGTTAAAGGATGCACATACTCCTAAGTCAATACTCCTTTTTGATCCTTGTATGATACATAAATATTTTATGTTCATCTTACATGAATGAAAGAAATTTTTAAATATGAAAAATGAAATGAGCTGCACGTTGTAGAGACTCACCACGTCCCTGAAGACCACGGCCCGGAGACGGTTTACGTCCTCGTCCTGCAGGAGGCACTGTGGGTCCCGCAGAGGAGACGAGTGCCCAGGGAGAGCCTCTGAGGGAGACTGCAGACAAAATACAGAAAATACAAGCAGGAAGTCAGATTTTGTACTCAGAATATTAACTGTTCACTAGTTTTAGATTTAACTGTATTCTTGTACAGTTGCTTTTTCATTTGGTCATATTCAGAATATAGTTACTTTTCTAAAATCAAAGGACTATATGACAGTACTTCATCCTGCAGTTTTAGCTACGAACTGCATCGTATTAAAGGTGGATTGTGAAACTTTTCAGGTGAAGGGTCCGTCACCTGCTTGTTTCTATGGAGATGTCATTGCTCTGCCTGGAATGTTCCACAGTGTGACTTACATTTATTCAATTACAGGTGGTTTTATCGCTCAAACATACCTAGAAAAACAGGCATTCTGACTGTCAGCAGGGTTGCCCCTCCACAGATCTGACCTGTAACTTCATCCGGTTTGGTTTCCATGACGATAGACAGGTTTAATGCCATACTGTGAAACATTCCAGACAATGCAATAACGTCTCCATGGAAAGAAAGCGCCCTCTTGTGGTAAATGTATTTTTCTCGACCCTGGAGTTAGGACACACCTGGCTGGAGTTAGAAGAGTTTCCTGATGCATCCTGGGTACTAGGAGGCGGGGCTTGGTGGGGGCGGGGCCTGCAGTCCACGCACTTCCTCATCGCCACACAGCAAACTGTAACATAAAACAGTTGTCTTTTAAGGCAGTGTTTCCCAAACTTTTTTTCTGGGGACCCATAATTTAAAAGTCACCAAACCTTCGTGACCCAAATCAATCGACATTATTCGTCAGTCACAAAATAAAGGTGGATTTGACCATTACTGAACATTAAAGAGTACCGTATTTATTATTATTATTCTTCTGCAAAATATGTTTAAGTTTTACTCTAAGTACATTTTTAAATAGGTACTTTAATCCTTTTACTTAAGTAGATTTTTTTCATGTGATACTTTTACTTTTACTTGAGTAACTTTATGCCTTTGTATCTCTACTTTTACTTAAGTGACAAAATGGAGCACTTCATCCATCCTGAATCCGTGTGTCATTCGTTCATTCGTTTTTCAACATAAAACCAAAAATAAGAAAAAGAATAAACAACTGTTTTAGACCAGACCGGGACCAGACCGGGACCAGACCGGGACCAGACCGGGACTAGAGCGGGACTAGAGCGGGACCAGAGCGGGACTGAAACCAAGACCAGCAGTCCGAGCGGTTCCATCTCATCATCTGCGCGCTGGTTCCGTGCGGGGAAAGCGAGAAAGCTGTGGACTACAGGTCCGGACGGGCTGCTCCGGTCCTCCGCGCTCAAGAACCGCGGTTCCGAGGTGGTGCAAAGCATCCAAATGACGAAAACGAACCGAACTAAGAGCTTTTGGTTCAAATGGACCAGGTCCGGGACCACAACGGGACCACAGCGCTACTGAGACAGACCACACCGGGACCAGAACAAGCCTGAGACTGAGACAAGACCAGGACCAGACCGGGACCAGACCAGAGGCTCAGAGCCCACGGCAGGGCTGGAGTTCAAAGCTGAGGCTCGGACCCCGCAAAGGCTCGGAGTCAAAGCTCGGAGTCCACCCTGGTCCTGCTCTGGTCCCGGTCTGGTCTCGGACCTGGATCAGTCCTGGTTCAGTCCGTACGCGGTACAAAAGTCCGGCATCGCAGTCACAGAAGTCACGTAAACGGGAAACGGTCATTATCCGTTTTTTTCCATTCTTCATTTAAACACAAAATCAAAAACTGAAAAAGCGAATCGTTATCAGTTTTTTAATTTTTGGTTTTGGAGACAAATAATGAAGAAAACAGTTGTTTTTTTATTTTCTTATTTTTGGTTTTATATTGAAAAACAAATGAACGAATGATACACGGATTATCCTGGCATCCTGGTCCTCACCCAGCCTGAGGCACTGTCGCAGGAGCCCCCCAGGAGCCATGTTCTTCTCCGCCTCCATCTCGCTGAAGTTCAGAGAGCTGGAGAAGACGAGCACGTCCACCAGAACCAGGAGACGAGACAGCAGGGACAGAGCGGCGTGTGGGGACAGGCCCTGAGGAGGCTCCAGGCTCTGCTCTGATCCACACTGTGAGACAAGAGACGAACGAGACGACAAAAGACACGGGACAGATCAGAGGAGAATCACATTTACAGTCTGTTCATTTAAAGTAGTTTATAGCCCTGAACAGTGAACAGTGCGCAGAGAGGAGAGGCACTGTGCTGTGGTTGGAGGTGAAATCTAAAATACTGTGTCTCTTTTTGTTATTAAAGGCGACTCCTGATTATGGAAACTGTCAAAATATTTCAGAACATGTCACTCAATCGTACTTAGGCTTACTTCCTACGAATCTTAATACTAAGGATGTAACGATATCCAAATCTCTCGATACGATATTTCCACGATATGTATCTCACGGTACGATATTTATTGCGATACATTGTGGAGGCAAACAAAACTGTGAATATGCAGTTTTTTCTTCTTAAAATGCTCCTTGACAAGACCTTCGTTCTGTCATAATCCAAAGAATTGAGATTTAAAAGTGCTTAGAATAGTTATTTCTGCATGTAGTCTCCACTGAAACAGAGCAAAGGATCATGGTCTATGTAGTTCCCTTGTTTTTTTTTGTTATGTTGCTGCACTATAATCATTTATTTAAGCACAGAGACTTAATTCGATATATTGTGACAGTCCATCATATTATTGTGAAACTTCTGATGATAGAATATCACAATATTTTGATTATTGTTACATATAAATATATATTCATGTATACCTAATGTAGACAGCTGTTTTTATTTATTATTTTTTATTTGTATTATTAAGTATTAGATTTAGATTTGAATATATATGTAACTGTAATGGCTTTTTTCTTTTTACAGCATTGTTGTTTCCTCAAAGTGTTTGTTGATAAAGAAATTGCTAATAATAATAATTAATAATAATAATTAGGGGTGTAATGATATCCAAATCTCTCTGTACAATATTATCACAATATGCATCCCATGGTACGATATTTATTGTGCGATATTCTGAAGAGGCTAAGGACACGTTTTTGCTTTTAAAATACCTTGACAAGATTTTGGTGTGAATTATTTCTGTCATAATCCCAAGAATTCAAGTAAAAACATATTTCCTTCATGTTGTCTGCGCTGAAATGAATCATGGGATATGTAGTTCCCGATGTTTATTATCTGTTGCTACTATAAAATCATGCATTTAAGCAAAGAAACTTATAATTCGATATATTGTGACTGTCCATGATAGTGAGACTTTTGACGATACGATATCACAATATTTAGTTTTTTGTTACATCCCTAATTAATAATACTTGATTAAATGTACGAAACAAGCAAACACAATATGGAATCGTGTATTCTCTTCTTTCCAGAGTGACCACACAAGATTAAAAACTCAATTTTAACCCATGTTAAAATGTGAATGTATAATTTATGTTTATAAAATGACATGGGAACTACGGCCAGTTACGGTCTACAGGTGAATCACAAAAGTTTGAGGAAAAAACAAAACAAACAACATTCACACTTATTCACACACACCACATTCAAACTGGCACTAAAACAGGACTTAATCTGGACAAGAAATTAATCTGGACCAGACCAGGACAAAACCAGAAAAATAAGACACAAAACTGATCCAGTAAAGCTGCGGTCTCAAACAATTCTCATCCGATGAGCTAAATTTACAAAACAAAAATGCCAGAGAGCTGCTCATTTTAGTGTTTAAAAAAAAGAAATTGAGAGAATTATAAAAAAAAAGAGAGAGCGCAAGCCTTGAGGTACAGTTAGATGCCAATAAAACAAACAAATGTCTAATTATTAGTGCACAATTAACAAAATTTTAGTTATTCAGCACAGTGGTATGACTCAGAAATCCGTTGGCGAGCTACTTCGAAGAGAGTGAAGAGCTACAGTTTGGAGACCCCTGCAGTACAACATTTCTTATCTCGATGCAGCTGTTGTAGTAAAACCGAGCGTCCACTAGATGTCGCCATCGCAGCGCGCAGACTTACAGCGGCAGGAGCGGTGGCAGCGGACAGCAGCGGCAGGATCCCCCCGCAGCACGTGATCAGGTTGTCCGCCAGCTGACAGAGCACGTGCATGGTGTTGTGGACGAATATGAGGTTCTCGCTGCTGTTCACAAACTCCATCACCGATTTACACGAATGACTGCGGACGGGAAACAAAACCGACGTCATACACGCGTGCAATCGATCAATGTCAAACTATTTCAAGACAGGTTTTAAATGTTACAGGCTTTTCCAAATGAATTCTAATTATCCCAGCATATTCTGTTCTGACATTTTAAAGTTCAGACTGTCAAAATATTACTTTTCTAGTGACTTTTAATGTTTCCTATTAGAGAAACTTGCCTTTTCATTCATAAAAGTAGAATGCACTGTGCCCAAGGAAAGTAGATCCAAAAACTACAATTCTAACACTTTTTTTCTACATTAAGACCCAAACCATAACTTTTCATTGTCCTGAAATATTTACATCCTTACTCTGAGTGGGCCTGCATCTCCACAAACCCAGTGGTGGAATGTAACAAAGTATGTAGGTTAAGTACTGTACATTAATAAAAAAAAAAAAAATCTGTACTTTAATATTTTACATTTTAAGAGTGGATATGTTTTACTTTTACTTCCCTACATTTGAGAGCGGGTATCTGTACTTCCTACTTCATAACATTTCTGCTGAAAAATGTATTTTTAACATGATCAAAGTTTGCACAAACTAATATACTGTATTCAAATAAAAACAGTTAAAAAAACAAAAAAATCAACAATCAATTCAATATCTGGGTTTCACGTGACGTCACAGGGCTACGTTTGTCAGCACGCAAAATCAGATGGAGGCAGGAAGTGAACTGACTGGAGGAAAATGCCGATGTGTTGTGTAGTTTGCGGCTGTGCCAATCGTTCTAACCGAGAGAAGGAAAAGCGATTTTTTTAGAGAACCGAATATAGTCGTCCACAAAGGTCAGAAATGGGAAAAGCCGACAGAACGACGCCGTAAAAAGTGGATTACAAACCTGTCTGCGGTCGGGAGGAGCAGAATTCGCTCATGCTCGTGTCTGCAGTGAACACGTTCGACAAAGGTTTGTTACAAAGCTAAATTGTTTTTTGTGGTTTACCTAAACATAAACGAATCTTTAACGACTAACGGCTAACGACGTTTGTTGACATTAAATAGTTCAGATAGATTTTACTGCCGATACACTGCAGTTTTTCCCATAACGTCTATACGCATAAAATAAGAGAAACACTCACCCCGGCGAAGACCAAACGATAATCATCATTTAGGCGTTTTGCACCAAGGTTGAGGACCCATCCACTCACAAAAAAAGTGATATGTCTCCAAACTTTTGTACGTCTTCATCTGTTGTCTGGTGTAGAACGACGTCTGAAGAGCTAAATAGTTCGTGATATCCTCTGCCTCGATTATCGGCAAATCTTTTACTTCGGTTGAAAATTCTCTCATTTTCAATAAGATCAGGGTCACGCCCAATATATTTGTCGACTAACTCCTCGTACTTTTACCTTGTTACTGGCTCTAAATTCTTACAATAAGAACTCTTCTCCATATCTGTGTTCTCCAGAGTCATGTTTGTTTGTCGTGTTTGTCTTCACTTCCTGCCCTCCACCTGAAATTCGCGCGTCATCGTGATCACGTGACTGAAACCCTCCTATTGTTTTTACTGAACACAATTCAGCACAAATCTTTATCAAAAGCACTACAGTTGAAGTTCTGGTGTGTGTCCTACCTCCTCCAGGCGCACACGTCGCTCTCCAGAGCACACAGCAGGTCGGTGAGGAGCCTCTGGTGCAGCGGCGACCAGCTGAACTCTGGGATACGGAACATGGCGGTGCGAGGGCCCGGGCTGAACTCCTGCCTCTGCTCCTCTGTCACGGACGCTCCACGGAAACCCAAACTCTCCAACGGGCTGGGCTGGTGCTCAGGTAGAGTCTGCTGAAAACACGTAATTGGTAATAAAAAAAATAAAATGAATTCATAAATAAAAATAAATTTAAAAAATAAAAAAGGGAAGAAAGGGGCAAAAACACAAATACAAAAACACAGAAAATTACACTTTAAAGACTGTAGTAAAAAGATAAAGATAAGAAATGATAATGGTGAAAATATTAGTTAAAAGGTGCATTCACTTTTTGGTCATCTGCTTGTTTCTATGGAGATGTCATTGCTCTGCGTGGAATGTTCCGCAGTGTGACAATTAACAGCTCGATCTTACATTTTTTTTCAATTACAGGTGGTTTTATAGCTCAAAAATACCTAGAAAAAACATGGATTCTGGCTGTGAGCGGGGTCGCCTCTCCACAGATCTGACCTGTAACTTGGTCTGGTTTGGTCTCCGTGAAAATAGAAAGGTTTAATGCCATACTGTGAAACATTAAAAAGTAATAATAATATCTCCATGGAGAAAAGCATTTGACAGACCTTCCATCACAAAAGTTACACATTGCAGCTTTAACTAATGACTTAAAGTGTTTATTAAAAATGGGAAAAAAAAAGAAAAGAAAGGAAACTTAAAGTATAAATAGGCCTAAATATATAAATAAAAAGGGGGTCTAGCAGTGTGGTTATGCCGCACTACCACATTATTTTTTTGTTTTATGTATTTATTTATTTATTTATTTATTCATTCTTGTGTGTGAGAGTTTGGGGGGGAATGAGGGGACTGGGGGTGGTCAGCTTTGTTTTAGGTATTTTACATTTTGTCTTGTTTTCATGTTCTGTTTACATTCTATTGTGTTTAATAAAAAATAAAAAAAGACTTAAAATAAAAATGTACATTATAAAACAATGCTTTTCTCCATGGATATGATATAGCAGGGGATCGCAAATTGGGTGAAATTTCTGGTTTTAGTCCTGATTTTCGTCCTGGTTTTCGTTCTGGTTTTGTCCCAGTTTAGACCTGGTTTAGTCCTGGTTTAGTCCTGGTTTTCGTTCTGGTTTTGTCCCAGTTTAGACCTGGTTTAGTCCTGGTTTAGTCCTGGTTTTGTCCCAGTTTAGTAATGGTTTAGTCCTGGTTTAGTCTTGTTTAGTCCTGGTTTAGTTCTGGTTTAGTCCTTGTTTTTGTTCTGGTTTTGTCCCAGTTTAGACCTGGTTTAGTCCTGGTTTTGTCCCAGTTTAGTAATGGTTTAGTCCTGGTTTAGTCTTGGTTTAGTCCTGGTTTAGTTCTGGTTTAGTCCTGGTTTTCGTTCTGGTTTTGTCCCAGTTTAGACCTGGTTTAGTCCTGGTTTTCGTTCTGGTTTTGTCCCAGTTTAGACCTGGTTTAGTCCTGGTTTAGTCCTGGTTTAGTCCCAGTTTAGTCCTGGTTTAGTCCTGGTTTAGTCCTGGTTTAGTTCTGGTTTAGTCCTGGTTTTCGTTCTGGTTTTGTCCCAGTTTAGACCTGGTTTAGTCCTGGTTTTGTCCCAGTTTAGTAATGGTTTAGTCCTGGTTTAGTCTTGGTTTAGTCCTGGTTTAGTTCTGGTTTAGTCCTGGTTTTCGTTCTGGTTTTGTCCCAGTTTGGACCTGGTTTAGTCCTGGTTTTCGTTCTGGTTTTGTCCCAGTTTAGTCCTGGTTTTAGTCCTGGTTTTCATTCTGGTTTTGTCCCAGTTTAGACCTGGTTTAGTCCTGCTTTTCATTCTGGTTTTCATCCCGGTTTAGACCTGGTTTAAGTCCCGGTTTTAGTCCTGATTTTAGTCCTGGTTTTGACCTGGTTTTAGTCCTGTTTTTAGCTCAGAATATCTGTTTTTCTTGGTATTTTTGAGCTGTGAAACCACCTATAATTGAACAAATCTAAAGTAAAGCTGTTTAAAGTCACACGGTGGAACATTCCAGGCAGAGCAATGACATCTCCGTAGAAACAAGCAGGTGACGGACCCTCCACCAGAAAAGTTACACACTGCACCTTTAAAGACTTACAGCAGTTCGTGACTTTAACCTTATTTCCATGTTTTTAATTCTCAAGAAACAGCTACATTTCTAATAAATAGACCCAAAAAAATCAAATATAGTAATTATTATGTAACACTAATACAGATAATTATTTCTGTGTACATTAGAATTGCAAATTGGGGAAAACAAGTGTGAATATTTTCATTTTTGCACGCTCAGAGAAAGGCCTCGAGCGCACGAGTCCTCTGCAGCGGTACAAAGTTCTTGAGGCTGAGAGGGAAGGCTCACAGTAAAGCTCCAGTCCCAGCAGAGCGTTCTCACAGGGCTGCCCACAAAGCCCGCCCCAGACCGGACTAGTGGACCCGAGACCCGGATCCGCTCCAAACACAGGGATTAGCAGTAAAACCACGTCTCCTATTTAAAGATTTTACACAACTATTACACAAAATTGCCTCTTGTGAGCTTTAAGACAAGTTATAATGCTGTTATCTAATCAAAAACAGACCTGGAGTTGTGTTTTCTTTCATTCAGACATGTTTAAGTAATTCTTTAAAATTTGTCTGTCTGTCGTCAAAGCTCAAAATGCTCTGATCCACCTTGTGATGTCACGACTAGGGTTGGGTATCATTAAGAAGTTGCCAATACGATACATATCTCGATACAGAGCACTTTAGATTCAGTACCATATATTTCAAACCGATTTGTTACAGGACTGAACCAGGACTAAAACAGGATTAAACCAGGATTGAACTAGGACTGATCCCAGGACTAAACCAGGACTAAACCAGGACTAAACGTGGACTGAATGTGGACTGAACGTAGACTAAACCAGGTCTAAAACTAGGTCTGAACTAGGACTGAAGCAGGACTGAACCAGGACTAAACCAGGACTAAACCAAGACTAAACCAGGACTAAACCAGGACTAAACGTGGACTAAACGTGGACTAAACGTGGACTGAACCAGGACTAAACCAGGACTAAACCAGGACTAAACCAGGACTGAACCAGGTCTAAAACTAGGTCTGAACCAGGACTGAACCAGAAATGAACCAGTAACGAACCAGGACAGATCCCAGGACTGAACATGCCCTGAACTAGGACTAAACCGGTACTAAACCAGGTCTAAACTGGGACTAAACCAGGACTAATACGATTAAACAGGACTGAACCAGAACTAAAACAGGACCAAAACAAGACTAAGAGGATTAAACGAGGACTACACCAGGACTGAACGAGGACTAAACCAGGACTAAACCGGGACTAAACCAGGACTAAACCAGCACTGATCCCAGGACTAAAAGAGAATTAAACGAGGACTACACCAAGACTGAACGAGGACTAAACCAGGACTAAACCAGGACTAAACCGGGACTAAACCAGGACTAAACTGGGACTAAACCAGCACTGATCCCAGGACTAAAAGAGGATTAAACCGGGACTAAACAGAAGTAAAACAGGACCAAAACAGGACTAAAAGAGGATTAAACGAGGACTACACCAAGACTGAACGAGGACTAAACCAGGTCCAAACCAGGACTGAACCAGGACTAAACAGGATTAAAACCAGGATTAAAACCAGGTCTAAACCAGGACTAAACCAGGACTGAACCAGGACGTATTCTGATGATTTAAATATAGATTTACTTTAGCACAACTCAACAAATTTCCAAAACAAAATTAATGGAGCAGGATCTGCAGCTTTTAGAGAATCAAAACCAGCCAGGCGGCTCCGTGAACCGAGCCCACTGGTGCGTCCCTAAAACATATGTCCTCCTATAAAAACCTCCAGAAACCTTAAATCACATTTTCACAGACTTCATCTCATCACTCACCTGTTTCGCCGCCGTGTCCCCTCTTCACCTCCTCCTCGCTCTCCTCTCCCGCCCTCCCGTCCCCCCTCTCCCACGGGCTCCTCGCGCTCTCGGACCCGGCCTTGTTCCCGTTACCCCCGGTGTCCCCCAAAGAAGAAGTCGTCTGCAGGTCAAACTCATCCTTTTCCAGAATACTCGGCAAAGATCCCAGCGGAGATCGGACCTGAATCAAAGACGGCTGCGCGTTTTTGGACACCAACATCGCCTTGGAGGGAGTCAATATTTTGTCATCCACGTTCTTAAACATAAAATTCGTCGAAACGTGATCCTTGTCGTCTTCTAAAGTTATAAGCGGGGGTATGTTTTGATCGTCGGAATCTCTGGAAATCAGCGTGCTATTCCATTTCGTGTTTAGTTTTCCCAAATAAAGATGATCTAACAGAGCGTTGATTTCAACTCTCGTGGGTAAGTCTAAACTGCTGCTTTGTATTTCCGTTTGCTCTTCTTTATCGTCTTTAAGGTCCACCAACAGCTCCTGGACGACAACCTTAACCCCGCCCCCTACTTCCTGGATAGGTGGGAGATGCGGTTTTCCGTTGGCTAAAAAGCTAGTCCCGTTGTAGTCCGCGTTACGGAAGTTGTCCTTTAAGATGCAGCTCAGGCTAGAAGTTTGATTGGAGACCTTCCGCTTTTTGGCGTTGTCTCCTTCCCCGTCTTGGTGAACTTGGTACACTTTGTCCAGATACTCCTTGTGCGCCTCGTAGGTCACCTGTTCCAAGACAAAAAACACATTACTGGAGAGCGTAGACTGTAAATAAATAGACATAGTCAGGCCCGTCGACAGAAATTTGGGACCCGGGGCGAGAAGCTTCACGTGGGCCCCCTTCTCATATAAATTAATAGTAAGAGAGTCAAATTCTGGGCTCTGAAAATCCTTGGGCCCACGACAAATGACCTCTAGAAAGTGAACATGGACGTTTATTTTGAGCTCTGGCTGCAGTTCACTTTCTATTGAACAAAAAAAGATGCCCCTCTCTCTTTTATTGCTGCTGTCAGGCTCCTAATTCTTCTTAAAATGTTCTTATTAACCCACTGGAGGTACTGCTGGTTTTCAAATGGCATCATAAGATTCTATAGGCCTAAATTATTTAACACAGATGGGGGAAGCTAAAGTGAATTTAGTTGGAATGCAGATTTTGGTTGTAATACAGTGGTTCCTGATAGAAATTATCTTGTTAAACATTTGTGAATTTATCCATCCGCTTATCCGGGGCCGGGGCAGCAGTCCAAGCAGGGACTCCCAGACCTCCTTCCTTCAAGCTCCAATACCAGCCGAGAGACATAGTAAATGGTCACATTTTTTCTACAGCGCTTTTCCACCTTCAAGGCACTCCAAACGCTTTCCACACACATTTATACACCGGTGTAAACTAGGGCTGGGTATCATTAAGAAGTTGCCGATACGATACATACCTCGATACACAGGCCACGATACGATACATATCTCGATACAGTGAACTTTCGATTCGATATGATATATTTCAAATCGATTCGATACAGTTCAATAAAAAATAAAGTCTAAATCATGGCTGTGATACTAAAGTCTTTGTTAAACCACTTTTTGTGCAAAGTTCATATGAAACACAACCATTTCAATCATCAAAACAGTAAAAATGTCAAATGTGTCGCATAAATGAGTTTCCTTCCACTCCACAAGCCACAAAACTGTATAGCTGTAACAAAATAATTTCGTAAAACACGTAAAAATACTCTTGGTGATATATCGATACAGCAGCCCACGATATCGATACTGTATCATCACATTAAACGATACGATATATCGATATTTTTGCACACCGCTAGTGTACACAGACACCAGAGACCAGGTGAGTTAAGTGTCTTGCCCAAGTACACGACGATAGCATTCATCTGTGGGTCAGTGGATCTGACAGCTCAACCTATGATGTTTATGTCGAGAGCGGGATTCGAACCGCCAACCGTCAGATCATTGGACGAACGCTCTACCAACTGAGCTACTTCCGTCCCTCCAGCGTGTCCTGGGCCTCCTCCCGGTGGGACGTGTCCAGGAGTAGTGTTGGGAAGGTGACTTTTAAAATATATTCCCCTACAGATTACAGATTACATACCCCAAAATGTAGTTTGTAATGTAATCCATTAAATTACTTAAAGTGAGTAAGGTAATCTGAATACTTTGGATTACTTGATATTGTCTTGCTTTTTAAAACGACATGAATGTACCACCCACATCCTGAAAATTCATGTTTGTTCTCTTCAAATTGTCTGTTGAGCCCAAATCTCCATGAACAGACTTTTGTTTACTGTAGAGAAGCAAAGACGAGGATCTTAACGTAGATGTTTTGTTTTATCAGCTAAAAGAAAATAAAAAGTTCAGTTTTTCCTTAACCATATTAAAAATATTATTGATAAAGAAATGATTTTTATATGAGATCACTGCTGCTTTAAATTATGTCCAACCTACTGTTAGATGTCTTACTGTTTAGACCTGGTTTTACTCCTAGTTTAGTCCTGTTTAGTCCTGCTTTAGACCTGCTTTAGACCTGGTTTAGTTCTGGTTTAGTCCTGGTTTTAATCCTAGTTTAGTCCTGGTTTTGGTCCTGGTTTAGTCCTGGTTTTAGTCCAGGTTTAGTCCTGGTTTTAGTCCAGGTTTAGTCCTAGTCTTAGTCCTGGTTTTAGACCTGGTTTAGCCCAAAATGTGAAAACAGGAACATACCGCCGTGTAATCCATTAATTTCAACAAAGTAACTGTAATCCAATTACCAATTTCAATTAATTGAAACAGTAACTGTAACTGAATACAGTTACTCATAATTTGTACTCTGATTACGTAATTCCGGTACATGTAATCTGTTACTCCCCAACACTGTCCAGGAAGCATCCGGAACAGATGCTCTCCCATCAACTGGCTCTTCTCAACATGGAGGAGCAGCGACTCTACTCTGAGCTCCTCACCCTGTCTCTAAGGGAGCGCCCAGCCACCCTGCAGAGGAAACTCATTTCGGCCGCTTGTATCCGCGATCTCGTCCTTTTGGTCATTACTCAGAGCTCATAGGTGAGGGAAGGAACGTAGACTGAGCGGTAAATCGAGAGCTTCGCCTTTCGACTCCGCTCCCGCTTCACCACAACAATCCGACACAGCGACCGCATCACTGCCGACGCTGCACCGATCCGTCCTCCCTTAACTCGTGAACAAGACCCCGAGATACTTGAACTTAGAATGTGAGTTTATCTTTTTGGAGATTTCACGGCAAAGTACAATCGAATCAAAAGGAAAATCTGAAAATAACTAACAAGGAACAGTGTGATTGGTGTTGTAATCGGAAACACTTGAAATTGAAGAGACCACTGAAAACAAACGCGGACGTTTTTGACCAGAAACCTGCAAATTTACTTAAAACTAAAGTTGCCAAAACTGACGAGGAACATTGGATAAACACCGCATATGGAGTTTAGTAGTGAAAAACGTGGAATTTATGTCTAGTTCCTCTTTAAAACAAAATCACACAGCTCTCAGTGCAGAATAACAGCATTTTGAGCAACCATGGGATTTCTGTATCATACATATTGTGTTGAATAACTCATATTTGATTTAATTAAATGCCTATTATCACTGTAAATGCATAATCTTTGTGCACTGATAAATGGATAATAATTGTGTAAATGTTTTATAGGCATAAAACTGTGCTCCATCTAAAGCTCTTACTTTATTCTAAAATGAGTACCGTAGCTCTCTGGCATTTTCGTTTCGTACAGGGAGCTCACCGGCGAAAAAAGGTTGGAGATACCTGGTTTAGAGCTTAATTAATTGATTCTGTAGATCCTCTCTTATCTGTCCTTTTTACATGGAAGGAGGCATGTTTGCGTTGATGTGGAGAGCCGTGCATTTCACTAACGGGCTAATCCGCTTGTCAATAACGGCCATGTGAACTCAGGGAGATAAAACTGGGTCTAAACCGCACGTATAGAGACCCGGCATGTGACTTCACGGTCTTGCCCTGATCCACTTCCGGCGGTCCAGCGAGCCAGACCACCAATATTGTAAAGTTAGCATATTTTCGAGTCGTTCCTTTAATTTTCGCATGTCGGAAAAGTGTTGCGCACAGAGCTGCGATCAGAAAGAGAGAGAGATAAAGACACAGGTTCAGTTGTATCAGATCCCGGTTGAATCTGACAGACGAGACGAGTGGAGCTGCCGTCATTGTGCCAAATACCTGTAAATATTCAGGGGTCCCCATCTCTGAATTGTTGAACGATACAGACTCAAATGTGAAAAAACAAAAAAGACACAGACAGCCTAAACTGAATAGGCCCTATTCAATTGATTCAACTTATAAAATTAACTGCATTTAGCCTCGTGTGAGAAACGCTACAGTCGGACTCGATCCAAACTCGGTGCTTCTGCTCCGGGCTGAAGTTCTACATGCTGCTGTTTTATGAGTTCATGGTGATAAGTTGAGATGAGGACGGCCCGAGGTTTAACAGGGAACACAGATAATCGCAACTGGGACATCGGGAACATCGGGCTGACCCTGTCCGAGTCCATATAGGATGGTGCGTGGACCCCCCGTATTTCGCACACTGGCTGCCATAAATCGGGGAATTTATGACCCGACCACGTTACTAGAATGCTAGCTACCAAACAAAACTGTCAAAAACTGTCACATGGCTGCAGGGTCTCTAAAGGGAGACAGTGGGCCCATGTGAACTGGGTTAAATGCGCAAATGAAGCTCCTTTCCTTCTCACTGACCTGGATGTTTGTCAAAAACCCTGGGGCCCAGTCAAGCAGAAGTAAACATCAAGGCCAAAAATTCAAGTTAATGCATCTGATATAAAAATGTATTGAACAGATACATATGTACTCTAGTTTATGAAACTGTTTACCTTTTTTCTGTACCATTTTTGGTTCTAATGTATGATGTATGAAAAATGGAACAAAATGGATGTATTTCATCATATCTTGTGTTATTCAAACTGTTGATGAAGGTACACGATAAAAAAAAAAATGTATTTAAAATGATAAAAATTAGCTTGGAAGGACTCACATATTTTACAGAAATAGTTTCCTTTCATTTTGAAGTAATATTAAAGTATTCGGAAGAAAAAAGCGACAAATTATGTAAAATCCTGCACCTTTCTACTTGCTTGAACAATTTTCCCTCTGTTACTTTTCCCTCCGTTACCATGAACCTTTCTTAATAAAAAATCTCATTACTCAAAAAGTAAGACGTTTTTCAACCTAATCTTGTACCATATGGTAAAAAACTATATGAAGCAAATATTCAAACCAGTTTGTTAAGGATATGTAAGTGAGAACCAAGAGTTATCACTGTTTGTATTTATTGCCCAAAAAGTGCTGCATATTTCATTCCCTCCGTTACCGACATGAGTTTTTAAAATTTTTTGGTCAACAACTTGAAAGAATATCACAGGTTTAACTTTACCCTGTTGGAGTGTAACTCTTTCCTACATTCTGATACTTTACTTATTTCAATAGTCCCTCTAGTTTCTGAATAAGAGACATTTGAATGTAAAAAATCTGCCCCTGTTTCCCTCCGTTACCACATGACCGGACCCCCTGGTAACTTTTTTACTTGTGCGTTTTAAAAAGTTGTACTGGAGTTGAAAAACGGTGCACAATGAAAATCAAGGTTGCAGATAAAGGTATAGAAGCACCAGAGGCTTGCATATCGTAATAGGAACCAGTTACACCCGCAAGCGACAATCAACGGCCATGTCTCACTAAACCTGTTGTTTGGTCAGGTGAATCTGTCCCATATTTCGGCTAAATGTCCAAAGACACAGTAATAACAATATGGACTGGACCCAGACCAACCTTAGAGTGTGCTATGGAGAGCGTGTCCACCCACACCCTCCAGCCGCCCCACTCGTGCTTGATGGCGTGGTACAGCAGGACCCTGAAGATGCTGTAGACCATCTCCATCATCTTGTGCTCCTCTGAGGTCCTGGGCTGGAGGAAACCCAACGAGAACATCCAGTCCTGCCACACGGAGCACTGGAGGAGGCACCTAACAAACACAAAACACAAGATAAGGCAGTGTCCAGCTGCAATTTGACCAGAAGTGAAGAAGCTGCTTGGATGAGCTGTGAAACGTCTTCACTCTAAAACTTTTGTCCAGTTGATAGGATTTAATTTTTCTTTTGCTAGAGATTAAATTTTAGTTTTAGTTTTTTTTTTTTAGTTCAGGCACAAACATTAAAGCAGACCTATTCTTTAAACAGTGTTATAGTTGTTTCCCCCTCACAATTTACCCTGTCGAAGTTGCATTTGGAGTGATTCGTTCGAGCAATTTTCAATCGCTTATTTTCAAGACTGTATTGCAGATCACTCTTCATTTTCACTGCCACTGGTGCAGTTATTTATTGCAATTCAAGTTGTGCAAGTCCAATGAAGAGCTTGAAATGGTACAAAGGTAAGAACTGAACAGACAGAGGATAAAAAAAAAAGATAAAAGATACAGAACAAAAGTTGAAGCTCTGCCAAAACTACCTCAGGAAAAAAGAACAAGATGGTAAACTTGAAAACATGAATTGTCCAGCACAGTCTCCAGACTTAAACCCCATCGAGCTGATTTGGGATGAACTGGACATAAAAGTAAAAGCCAAGCAACGTACAAGTGTCACACATTTATGGAAACTTCTGCAACAGACTTGGGAAGAACTTTCTGAAGAATATTTGATTTCTAATGTAAAAAGAACAAGCCACAAGTGTGTTGAGCTGTTATATCTGCCAAAGGTGGACGCTTTCATGAATCAAAAGTTTAGAATATGTTTTATAGTCAACAGTAAACAATAAAAAACTGGGAAAAGTGTGGTGTTCTCAAACTTTTAACTCTGTTGTCCAGTTGTAGGTTTGAAACATTGCTGCAAAATATTTAGTTGTTTTTACCTGCAAGCGTTCTGGTACAAACAAGCTTTAAGTGTGTTTTTCTTAATTCAAGCAACATTCGATTTTGTTTATTATGTTACGTGCTAAAAGTAGTTGTTTTTCTTCTTTTAAGTGAAGCAAGATGTTGTGACAAAGTGGTCCTTTGTCCCATTTTAAACCCACATTAGTTTAATTTCATATTTTGTACAGTTACAGTTACGTTACAGTTACAATAATACTTAGTTTGGTTAACTTATCACATTAGACATTGTTCATTTAAATGTAATTTTATTTGTTAATTCATTTCAGTTTCCATTCATCATACCCAGCTCCACATGGTCCAGACAAAAAGGGGTCGGCCATTTTAAAACCTTGGAAGAGGTCGTGGGCTGGAGCATGTGGAGGGGAGAACTGGTTTAAGTTCTGTTTCATTGTTTCGTGCATTTGGTTTTATTGTTTCTTTTCAACACAGTTTAGTTTATGTTAAGCATTTTGATTTTAAAAGGGGACTTAAAGGTTGTATAGAGGATTTTCCAAGGAACGAGAAATCCAGCGACTGTTTGTCCTTTTTCAAATGTTGCGCATGCGTGAAACCACCCCCCCTCCCCTACAGCTCCTACGTAGAAACGCCTCCTCCCTCCTCCTCCTTACGCCAGAAACAGGTTTGTTTACAGCCGGTGCGCTGCACATGACTTGTAAACAACTAACTACAGTGTTGGTTAGGCAAGACGGAGAAGTGAGGAGCGGTGGGAGCGGGTGCGCGGACATTTCATTCGCGGACGAGAAGTGAGGAGCAGGGAGAAGAACGGAGCAGGGAGAGGAGAGAGCGAGAGAGAGAGGGAGAGGAGAGAGGAGAGAGGAGAGAGGAGAGGGGAGAGGGGAGAGGAGAGAGGAGAGGGTGCGCGGAGATTCCGTGCCCGGAGAAGTGAGGAGCAGGGGAAGAGCGGAATCGGGCAGCGGGGACAGGAGCAGGAAAGGGGAGCAGAGAAGGTTGCGCGGAGATTCAGTGCGAATGAACTAGCTACAACACGCAGCAGCAAGCGGACTCTTTCTTTGCCTTGAAAATTACGTTTTCAGACATAGGATATCGCTTTCGTGTCCTGAAAAACGTTTGTCTAGCTCTTGGAAATAAAGTACGTTTTCATAATAAGCAGAAGTTTCCTGTCCAGGAGTAATTTGTGGACCAGTGCGTCAGTCTTTAGACCCTGCGTCTGCTTCAGTCGCGCCATCGCTGGAATGAATCTTCAAGAATCACCTTAGTTTGGCTTCGCTGCTTTTCCCCTTGTCTTCTTCTTTCAGCGACCTCAAAAACGGACTTTCTTTTGCGGCAAACTGCTCCTGGATTCTTGTCGCCATTGCAACAAACTTTGTGCGAACTGCGAGGAAGATATAGGTCAAAAAAAAGCCGCTAAGAACTGTTGCGTTGGTGGAGTAAACAGCGTCTGTGCGGCTTGCGTCTGTGGACTGCGTGACAGTCGTACGCAAACCACGTAACGGCAGCGCGCAGGCAAGTCAGTTACGCTAGAAACGTAGGGAGTTTGATTGACAGCCTGTCAGCTCACAGATAACGAGGCAGTGTCGTTATCTATTGGCAAATGTTTAGCCCCACCACGTCCAGAGTTGATGAATTTTTATTCTCTTTTTTTTGGTCATCATAATTACAAGGCTACTGCATCTCTATAATGCTATCATTGACAACTTGAAACAAAAAAAATCCTCCATACAACCTTTAAGCCCTTGAAAACAAGTTTTGCTTTGAAGAGTTACCTGGAACTGATAGTCACCTGGGGGAGGTACTTCCTGCTGGGCGGGGTTTAAAAGCAAAACAGGTGTCATCAAATGGGGGAGATTTCTGTGCAGATTGTTTGGTGCTTTTGAATTGAGTTACTTATTTTTCTGTTCATTTGTACTTTCTTTTGCATCAACTCCCGAAGTCTGTTCTGAAACACATTTTGTCTGGTCAAAGACATGTGACTGACCACGTTGGCCCAGCTTCCCCACAGATGTATTTTCATATTTTAAGTACAAAAAGTCGTGATGGGCAGATGAAGCTTCATGAAGCATTGAAGCCTTTCATCCAATTGGTTCACTCCAGCGCAAAACTTCTTGAAGCTTCATTTGCTCTAGTAGGACATCTAGTGGACGCAAAAATATCAGTTGGCATGAATTTGAAGTGTGTGGCAGAAAGCAGCAAAATAAAGAAGTATGCCAAACATGTATATTGTAGTGATGGCAGTGTACTGTGTCTGTATATATACTGGCAGTACGGAAAATTATTTGGAAATGATGAAAATCCAAACCACTTCCTGAATCCGTCACGTGGTACAGTCGGGCAGCGAGGCTTCAGACGTCATCATTTTCAGCTCCTCCCTTAAATGAGTAGCAAACCTCGATATCCCGTGCAGCATCTCAGGAAACCGCCCCCTCCCCTAACTTGTCACACAACTTCAAATCTTCGATACGAAATGTCACATCACTAACAAAAAGTCTTGTTCCATTAGCAGAAGTAAAATTTACTCAAATCATGATAAAACTTTCTTAAATCAAGTCGTCTTAACTTGACTAAATTCTGTTTTTTGCAATGTGCCCCGCAATTTCTTTAACAAACGAGAGTACCAAGGTTTTGTATACAGAAAATATTCTTAGAAAACTCCAAGTCTAATCACCAGTCCTTAACATGTCCTCTGATACGATGGCCTGTATTTATGAGGACTTCCCATGGCCCCCTGCTGTTGGTAACACTGATTAGTGCGAGCAGAAGCAACACTCGGAGCTGCTCGACGGGTGAGTGATGCTGATTTGGATGGGGCTGTTTACAATGTGGCCAGTGTTTGAAAATGTGCTGCTAACACTGCAACAGCTGCTCCATTTTTCTGTAGTGACAATACGGCGCTATGTGCACAGCTTATGGGTTTAAGAGTAAGATCTATGACTATAGGAAAATAAAACAACAAGCCCGGAGACGGTATTATGGAAATTATGAAGAGGTTTCAAAACACACTCTCCCAGACAGAATATGAAATGAGGGACGGCTCGATATGGAAATCCGGTCAAACTTTTTATAATTACTACACTTTAATTAGCCTTAAAGGTGCACTATGGAACTTTTCGGTTGGGGGTCTGCCTGGAATGTTCCACAGTGTGACATTAAACAGCTCTACCTTACTTTTATTCAATTACAAATGGTTTTATAGCTCAAAAATACTAAGAAACAGACATTTTGACTGTGAGCGGGGTCGCCTCTCCACAGATCTGACCCGTAACTTGGTCTAGTTTGGGCTCCATGAAGATAGAAAAGGTTTAATGCCATACTGTGGAACATTCTAGACAACGCAATAGCATCTCTACAGGGAAAAGCAAGTGGCGGAGTTAATTAATAATGAAAAGTAAAACATTTAAATATTTTATTGGTTGATTCGGGCTCGGTAAATACTTGATTAAGGGGTCAGGAGTAAAGTTTAGGATAATAATGAAGAAGACTCCAAGCCTGAATCATTCTCAAAACAAACCTATCTGCAAAATTTACCTTTTAGAGCAGGGGTGTCAAACTCATTTTGGTCCGGGGGCCGTATCCAACCGACTTTGATCCCAGAGGGGCCGGATCAGAAAACTCATGTCATATAAACCCCAAAAACAGCAATAAGTTCAAATATTTGTGCAGAGAAACACAAATCTATTTTATTCTTTTTTAATGGATGAACTCTTTCTTTTATTAAATATAATATTATGAACAACCTGAAACTTTAAGAAAAATGCAATTTCAAACAAAACAATGTTTTAACATGAACTTGTATGTAAATAGGAATAAGTCAATTTTTCTTGGAAAATCCTGCACTCGGCTCCACTTTTCTCATTTTTGACATTTTTCTGATGAGGGTGTCACGTTAACAGACAAAACGATCGTCCTTTAAGAGCGTTTGGAAAGAGACAAGTCTTCATTTGTGCTGCTCTGGTGGGAGGGGCCACGTACAGAGACGCTGGAGACGCTGCTGTGATAAACACCACAGAAAATTAACCAAGATTTTAATAGAAAATATAATGAAAATATTTTTGTAGAAAATCAGCCGAGGGCCAGATTAATGGTCTTGGAGGGCCGGATCCGGTCCCCGGGCCGTATGTTTGACACCTCTGTTTTAGAGCTTTTAACCATATTATATTTGTTGGTTTCCCCTCACCATTTACTCACACAAAGTTGTATTTGGAGTGATTTGTGCATGTTTGGTACAAGCCCACTACTCTGTACTTACTTCATTATATTTATATTTTCAGATTCGGCAGTGTAGTCATTTTTTTTTTTACAAAAAAACAAAAACAAAAAAAGTTATCTGTAGCTCTCTAGGGTGATCTGCAGCTATTCAATAGAGACTCTCACCAGTTTTATAACACAGAAGTCAACAGACACGTGGTTTTAGATGATTATTGTGATTTAAAATATAAAAATTATAACATAATGATAGAGATCATACATATACAGATATATTTTTTTTAGCCTAATAAATATAAACTGGGAGGTGGATTGTGTCACAAAGTTAAGGAAATATAGACTTTACATAATTTGGAACTGTAACTATCCAGGAATATGCAGTGGTCGATGAAGTAATCCATTTTGTGAAATTAAAAGTACAGATACAAGGGCCAAAAAGTTACTCAGGTAAAAGTATGGCATAAAAAAATCCACTTAAGTAAAAGTATTAAAGTACCTGTTTAAAATGTACTTAAAAGACTAAAGAGTAAAAGTATTTTGCAGAGATTTTTTGAAAAATTAAAGGTTGAATTGAAGTGATTTCGATGAAGAATTCAGCTGATTGTAAGTGAATCAATTGATTGTAGCTGCTTTTGTGTTTTTTGGTTTGCTCAAAGTTGGAACGAAACTCAAATTAAATGTGCTAAATATGATAGAAAAGTGTTTTTTACTTTTCAGTCCAGATCTAAAATGTAGTGGAGTGGAAAGTACAGATACACGTTCGCAAATGTAGTGAAGTAAAAGTATCAAATTTGTACTTAACTTTTTGATTTTTACTTTTATATGAATATGTAAACAAAAATAGGAACAGATCTTCACTAGTATTCACTCTGGGTTGTTTTTTCTTTTTCTTGCAGAGATTCGATTGTGCGTCTTGTAGCGCAGAATTTATTGTAATGGCCCAGTGGAATGACCGAGGCAAAATCACCTCCAAATTGAGAGTGTGACTGCTGTTTTCAAATATATTTATGCAAATTCAGCCTCTCGCCACAAAGACTCAGGACTATTTCCAGTCCAGACAAATACAAAAAGTCCAGGGCAGACGCTACATACGTCACGAAGAAACGTTAAAACTGCTAAAACACAAACACTACCAGTCAAAAGTTTGGACTCACCCTCTCGTTCAATGTTTTTTTTTCTATATTTTTACTACTATCTATGTAAATATAAATCAAATAAGCAGGATATATGGAATTATGTAGCAAAGACATTTTTATATAGATATTTTTTAGAACCAAATCCCCAAATTATCCACCCTTTGCCTTGGTGAAAAATATTTACTTGAGTTATTTACATTTTTTGCTATGCCAATAATAATTCTATTTATCTTACTTCATATATTGATGATTGCTTCAGTCTGTATTTCAAATGTAGAAAGTAGTAAAAGTATAGAAAATAAAAAGTCCAAATGTTTAATTGGTATATGCATAGAGCTTGAACCTCAAATTGAAGATAAATTGATCTTGGGTGAAAAAAAAAACCCAAAAAAACATGAATGAATAAATAAATAGATACAAATAATAAATAAATAAATAAAATTTAATAAATACAAAATAAATAAATAGAAATCAAAATTAAATACAATTCAAAAATAAAATAAAAATAATAAAAATACGGAAAAAAATCACATTAAATAATAAAAAATAAAATAATAAAATAAATAAAATAAAACATTAAATAAATACAATAAAAATTTAAAATTTAAATTAAAATTGGCACCTAGCAATTCACAAAATATAATGGTCCCATCTCTCACTCTTTTCTCAGCTGCTAAAATAAAACTAAAAATAAAATTGGCACTCAGCTTTTCATATAATGCCACAGTCCCATCTCTCCCTGTGTGTGATCACCGTCTGTTTTCTCAACTGCTAAAATAAAAATAAAAATAAATGAAATGAAATAAAAATTAAAAATAAAAGCTTTTCACAAAATGCCACTGTCCCATGCCTTTTTTTTTTTTTTTTTTTTGTGTCTTCACTTTCTGTTTTCTCGACTGCTAACATAAAATAAAATAAAATAAATAAATAAAAACGAAAATGGCCACAGTCTAATCTCTCTGTATGTGTCCTCACCTTCTGTTTTCTCGACTGCTGCTGAAGAGTTTGAGCAGGTCGGACAGGAAGAGTCTCTGCACCTCCACGAGCTCTGCGCACGGGGCTGCAGACTTCAACAGTGTAGCCACCACCTTCAGAATCACTACCAGGGCAAAAACGCAACACAAATCTGACTCGTTGTATGAATGAGCATATAGAAGTTTACAATTATTACACTGAAGGTCCAATATTACACAAAACTGACTCTTGTGAGCTTTAAGTCATGTTATAATGTGGTTACCTCTTCAAAAACAGAACAGAAACCTGGAGTTGTGTTTTGTTTCATTCACACATGTTTGAGTAACACTTTATTATTAGTCCGTTTACATCTCCACAGCTCAAAATGCTCTGTTCCACCTTGTGATGTCATGAAGCTGTAGTTTTCAAGTTTAAATCACAGAACTATAATCAAATCTGGAAGGTGAACACAAGATGGTGTTGTATTGTTTTCAGTGGTTTGTCCTCATTGGCGCATGGGCCCAAAATAATTTTCTCTTCCGGATTTACTTCCTTAGTACGGACGAGCTCCTCCCACCCGTGTGACGTTTGTAATGTGCACGGTGTTGAGCGATTGGTCCAATCAGAGCGGAGCTAAAGCAGGCTCAGACCGGGGCTACAGGTCTTACAAAACTAACTTTAAGGTGCTTTGAGGATTAAAAAAATAAATAAAATCATGTTGTGAAAATAGAAAAGAATCCCTAGAAAATCTGACCTTTGTGAAAGCTGTTGATGCCCTGTCAGCCGAACACGGGCAGTTTGAATTCCCAAAAAATGCATTGGGGTCTGTGGGAGAATTGTTTCTGCGCCCAAGCTCCCGGGAGCTGCAGTACCTGGAGCGGCCACTAGTCAGTCTGGAGCTGCAGTACCTGGAGCGGCCACTAGTCGGTCTGGAGCTGCAGTACCTGGAGCGGCCACTAGTCGGTCTGGAGCTGCAGTACCTGGAGCGGCCACTAGTCGGTCTGGAGCTGCAGTACCTGGAGCGGCCACTAGTCGGTCTGGAGCTGCAGTACCTGGAGCGGCCACTAGTCAGTCTGGAGCTGCAGTACCTGGAGCGGCCACTAGTCGGTCTGGAGCTGCAGTACCTGGAGCGGCCACTAGTCGGTCTAGAGCCGGGACAGAAGGGGAACGCCTTATCCAGATTTTATTAAAGGTCCATGGTTTAAAGCCATCTTTGACCTTTAGTTCAGTAGAGATTGGCAATTCCAGGGCTGAAATTATCAAGATGTTTCTAGTGAAGGTGTATGGAGTTTAAAAACACAGTGGAGCACTTGTATTACCATATGACATCACAAGGTGAAAGAGAGTGTTTTCATTTTGAGAGCTCAGCCTAAATATGCAGGGTTTGAGTGTTAAACGTGTGAATGAAACAAAACACAACTCCAGGAAACAACATTATAACATAGATCAGAACAGAAGTGTAACATGGGCCCTTTAAATCATCTCACTTGGGTTCTGAATTTTGACGGTTGAGTCGGGGTCTGGGTGAGGTTTGTGGACCACCTCTGTGCACATCTGCTCTGTCAGAATCTGGAGAAAGACAAAGAAAGACAAAGAAGTTTTACTCAAATACAACGGACAAATAGAGAGTCAACAGAGAGGCAGGTTTACTGTTAAATGAACTGAAAAGTATGTTATGTTAAATGTACACTGCGTAACTTTTATGTTGGAGAGTTTGCCGACTACTTGTCTCCATGGAGATGTTATTGCTTTGCCTGGAATGTTCCACAGTAGACTTAGACAAACTTTATTGGTCCTCAAGGGAAATTACTTGGACACAGTAGCTCACATAACACTGAGTAAAAAAATATAAAATGGTAATAAACTTCTAAATAAGTTGCAATAAAAAATAGCTAGAGATTGGAATCAATAAGACATAAATTATATAAATGCACCCCCAATGACGAGTTTCAATAAAAACTGATATTTTTTTAATATTGTATTTTCATGTATATATATATATATATATATATATATATATATATATATATATATATATATATATATATATATATATATATATATATATATATATATATATATTTTTTTTTTTTTTTTTTTGTGCATTCATAAACAATTTTTACAACAGCAAATCATTTCCAACTTCATGCAGGCCTAAATGAGGCGACTTTTACCATCACTGAACATCAGTAGGACACTAGGACTAAACCAGGACTAAAACAAGTCTACACCAGGACTAAACCAGGATTAAACCAGGACTAAACCAGGTCTAAACCAGGTCTAAACCAGGTCTAAACCAGGTCTAAACCAGGACTAAACCAGGACTAAACCAGGACTAAACCAGGTCTAAACCAGGTCTAAACCAGGACTAAACCAGGACTAAACCCAGGTCTAAACCAGGACTAAACCAGGACTAAACCAGGACTAAACCAGGTCTAAACCAGGACTAAACCAGGTCTAAACCAGGACTAAACCAGGTCTAAACCAGGACTAATCTTGGACTTGAGAGAGAGAGACAGAGAGAACCCCGAGCCTGTGTAGCAGGGTGTTTGCAAAGCGCGATCGGGCGACAGCTGCATTTAGCCCCGTGGGGCGTGAAGCTCTTTTTTTTTTTTTAAAGTGCATTCATAAACAATTTTTACCATTGGGTGCCCACGGTCACCCTACGGTCTAACACAGGTGCACCTCCGGGCCCGTCCCGACACTCAGTTCTGGTTTAGTCCTGGTTTAGTCCACGCGTGTCGTGCCTCACCTATTGAAAACCACTGGTACATACCATTAAAATGCCAATATTAGGTTATTTCTGTTATGTTATAATGTTGTTTCCTCATCACAAACACACCTGGCTTTGTCGTGCACATTTAGGGTGAGTTCTTCTCTCTCAAATGGAAAAACACTCTGTTCCACCTTGTGATGTCATGTCGTACAGGAAGTAGAATCATTTGGATGATTTCAGACCTGGAATTGTCAATCTCTACTAAACAAAAGGTAAACCGTAGCTGTAAACTTGAAAACTATCACTTCATGACATCACAAGGTGGAACAGAGCATTTTGAGCTTTGGAGATGTAGGCAGATTAATAATAAATTGTTACTCAAACATGTGTGAATGAAACAAAACACAACTCCAGGTCTGTTTTTGACGAGGAAACACCATTAAAACACAAATCTGAAAACAGCACAATATCGGCTCTTTCCAGATACTTTTTAGGGGATAATTCTGCCTCTTTGTCTGGTTTCAATATTACCGTTTATATTTACAGCAACATATCTCACTTGAAAATGCTTTATCGTGACGGGTCTGTAATGTTACCTCGTATAAAGCGTTGTAGGTCGTCATGGAGACAGTGAGCTTGTCCCCCAGCAGCGTGAACAGACTGTGACTCTGCATCAGCTCCGCCTTCCTCCTGTACAAACACACACGGACACAAGTGAGACACCTCTGGACTTTTACCCGCAAAACTTTGCAGTGACGTCATTCTGGGGGTGTTCTATGTGTATGTCTGTGGCGGAATGTTCAGCAGTTACCACGGAGACACAGTGTGCACATTAGTGAACGCACACTGCAAAAAAGCTTGGCCAAAATTGAAGATATAAACACTTAAATCTATCAGAAAATGACTTAAAAGTAGTGAAATGCAGCAAGATAAATTTTACTTGACAAGTTTTCTTAACATAAACTACCTCTAGACTAGAATTTCACAGTCTCAGAACTAGTAATTAGATAATAAATCAGAAAACAAGATGAAGAACCTGATAAAAGTTTTAAAATCTTGGCCAGAATTTGCAGTGAAGCCAAAAAAGTTTTAAGAAAAACTCATGAAAAAATACACAAAATGGATTTACAGAGCAGATTTCTAGGTTTTTGTGTTAAACATGTGTCAGTGAAACAAAACACAACTCCAGGTCTGTTTCTGATGAGGTAAAATCATTATAACATAGATCAGAAAATAGTGTGATACAGAGCTGGGACTTGTAAGTCGTGACTTGGACCAGAGTCAGACTTGAGTCACTATTTTTAGGACTTGAGACTTGATAAAATGGACTAAGACTTGGGATTCAACTTGGACTTGAAGGTCAGTGACTTGGGACTTGACTCGAACTTGAGGCGTTTGACTTGAGAAGACTTGATGCTTCTCCTAAAAAATATGTTTTTAGAAAATACTTTTCTCTTTACAGTTAATAAATGTGGCGCTGAATTTTACAGAAACAAACTGGAACATGTCCCTCCCACTTCTATGTTTGTTACTATGGCAACAGTGACTGAAGTACTGTGATATTAAGGTATCCTCAAATGTTCTACAGTAATATACAGTACAATACAGTAAAACATAGGGAATGACATAGAAGATGATCTTTCCATTTCAGTGCAGACACATGAAGAAATACAAGATACTAAGGCTACGTTCAGACTGCAGGCTTAATGCTCAATTCAGATTTTTTTGTGAAATTCGAGGTAGTTCACATTTCTATTTAAATGTGACTTGTATGTGATCTCCAGTGTGAACTTTAAACACCCCAAAATGTCCCACAAACGCATTGGAGGACTCGACGACGTCACACACAGCGAGCGTGCTCAGATGCAGCATTGAGCATCTGGAGATTTTAAAGTTGCTGTCGTACTGGAGCCAGAATATGTGCAGTTTATTTGTTTTAAAGAGGAGATTGAGAAAGAGAAGCATGAGGTTTTTGGCCATGGCATTTTGTGGGGCAGTGGCAGCAACGTCCGTGTAGCGTCACAGCTAAGAGTGGGAGGAAACACGCTGGAGTTGGGCTGTATTGGTGCTTGTTACTGTGTTGTTCTAACGTGTAGGTGGGATGAATGTGACCTGGCCGCTCAGACTTAAGTCGCATGTCAAAAATTCAGATATGTATCAGTTTTAGGACAACAGATCCAAGTGGCCTGGGTCGCATTCGAAAAAATCGTATCTGTGTCGTTCAGACTGTCATTAAAAGATCAGAAAAAGGAGCATATGGGGCAAAAAAATCGGATTTAGGTCACTTCAGGCTGCAGTCTGAATGTAGCTTATGATCTTATCAAGACATTTAAAAAGGAAAAATTACATATAAATACATATATATATATAAATACTGGTATATAAATTAGTGCTGTCATGCGATTAAAAAAATTGAGAGATTAATTAATTATGATCTGTAATTAATTAATCTAATTAATCTCTTTTTAATCTCACCTAAAAAATGCTGAGAAAAGCCTTCAATTTGAGGTATTTTCATTTAAATTCATTATTACATTATTGTGGCAGATCAAAAGACTGATATAGAACAAAAAAAAGTGACTTTATAAAGTCATTTATTGTTTAACAAATCTCTCCAAATTGGCTGTTGAGCCCAAGTCTCCATGAATAAGAAACAGTTTGCTGTAAAGTAGCAAAGACGAGGAAATCTGAACATAATAACTTTTGTCTAAAGACAATAAAAAGTCCAGTCTTTCCTTAACCATATTAAAAATATTATTGATAGAGAAATGCTTTATATATGAGATCACTGGTTTTAGTCCTTGTTTTAGTCCTGGTTTAGACCTGGTTTAGTCCTGGACTGGGTTAGTCCTGGTTTTAGTCTTGGTGTTAGTTCTGGTTTAGAGGCTCACAGGAGGAAGCGCGGTTTATGCAGCGTACGCGAGAAAACGTACGCGGCTCACGGGAGCACGTCGGTGTCCGCGCAGTAACTACGGAAAGAAACGTGGTCCACGCGTTCTCAGGTTAATGACGATGATGAAGGTGTGTGTTTGTGTTTGTTTGTGTTTGTTTGTGTTTGTGTGTGTTTGTGTGTGTTGTGTGTGTGTTTGTGTGTTTGTGTGTGTTTGTGTGTTTGTGTGTGTTTGTGTGTGTTGTGTGTGTGTGTGTTTGTGTGTGTGTGTTTGTGTGCGTGTCCCCTCATGTGGCAGGTCACTATAGGACAGTAGTGCAGACATCATGAGTCTATGCAGGTTGTTTTCACCAGTGACATTTAAGTTGTAGGCGATTTTATATTTGTTATTTTCTTTTATATTTTACGTCGGGAGAATAATTTCCAAGACACGAATGTGTTTTTACCTGTGCACTGCTGCCTCTGTTCTACTGGCTCTTCGACCTCGTCCATTGTGCGACTGACGCCGCCAACGTTAACATGACGTTTACATCACTCTTACTGCGCACGTTTTGTGTGGGTTTCCGGCAATGAGTGGAATTACCGAAATAAAAAAATAATAAATGTGTTTTTTGTGTGTGTGTGTTGTCCCAACAACACATAAAAACTGATTTTATAATAAAGCAACTCGCATACAGAAACTGTAAAGTTAGAGATTAAAAATGAGATTAACGCGATTAAAAAGCATAACGCGCTAAATATGACTGTAATTAATTAATCGCAATTAACGCGATAATTTGACACCCCTAATATAAATATACCATGACTTTTTAAGTACAATTTAATTTAAAAGTCATATAAATTGAAAAAATCTCAGCTATATTTGGTACTTTTTTGATTTAAAGACTTGAAATGACGTGAAGCTTAAAGCAGACGACTTGAACTTGACTTTGAGATGGGCCAGTGACACGAGACTCTGCTAGGGCTTGCCTGAATTTGACTTGGGACTTGAGTCGGACTTGAGGTCAAAGACTTGAGACTTACTGGAGACTCGTAAAACAACGACTTGGTCCCACCTCTGGCGTGATATAATTCCAAAGAGAGAAGTGGAAGTAGTTGCTAAACAGAATGATGTGAGAGTGTGAAACTTTTGGACTTTAGGATTTTGTAGTTAGTAGAGTTTTTAGCAGGAGCAGCTGTTTCCTCTGAGCCACAGGGAGAAGGCTCAGGAGACACAATCTGCTCCTGTCACACGGCAGGGACACGCTGCAGGTGCCTTCAACACAACGCACTTTAACAGGTGACAACAGGCATCAGCCCCTGTCATCTCCCCGAGCTCATCTCCGCTTTGATTTTCTGCTTTTAGAGCAACTCACAGCTAAAAGAAGTTAAGATGTAAGAAAGATTATTAAGTAGTTAAAGTGGCAGCATGTAACATTTTTATTTTTAATTTTATAAACATCACCGATCTTTGTCTCCATTTAGACTTAGACTTGAACTTTATTGATCTGCAAGGGGAATTACTTGGACACAGTAGCTCACACGTCACAGAATATTATAATAACAAAGAGTAAAAGATATAAACACAATATATGTTGTAATTTCTGGACTATTGAGCGCACCTGAACATAAGTCACATCAACTAAATTTTAAAGGAAAAAAAAAGTTTACATACATATTCTGCACCTAAATATAAGTTGCAGGTGGGCCCGGTCAAGGCCAAAAATTCAAGTTAATGCATCTGATATAAAAATGTATTCAACAGATACATATGTACTCTAGTTTATGAAACTGTTTACCTTTTTTCTGTACCATTTTTGGTTGGTCAGAAGAAAAAAGTTGACAAATTATGCAAAATCATGCACCTTCTACTTGTTTGCACAATTTTCCCTCCGTTACTTTTCCCTCCGTTACCATGACCTTTCTTAATAAAAAATCTCATTAGTCAAAAAGTAAGAGGTTTTTCAACCTAATCTTGTACCATATGGTAGAAAACTATATGAAGCAAATATTCAAACCAGTTTGTTAAGGATATGTAAGTGAGAACCGCTAGTTATCACTGTTTGGATTTATTGCCCAAAAAGTGCTGCATATTTCATTCCCTCCGTTACCGACATGAGTTTTTTAATTTTTTGTCAACAACTTGAAAGAATATCACAGGTTTAACTTTGACCCTGTTGGAGTGTAACTCTTTCCTACATTCTGATACTTTACTTATTTCAATAGTCCCTCTAGTTTCTGAATAAGAGACATTTGAATGTAAAAAATCTGCCCCTGTTTCCCTCCGTTACCACTTGACAGGACCCAGCTGTCCACGTCTTCAAGAACGCTTTCAAGTTTGGGCCGTCTGCTTTTATCTCCTCTGAAAACTTTGTCGTCTTTTTGCATTGAGTCAGTTCGTCACGCTGCCGTCGCCAGCATCTCACCATTGACTCACTGATGTCGAGCTGCCGTTCACTTAAAAGCTGCATCATCTGCGTTTCTTTGTGTGTTTTCCATGAGGAGGGAGTGTGCATGAAGCGCAAAATAACTGTTCAAAACACAATCAAACGAGCATCTTCCTCGGCGCATTATCTCTTCCACCTGTCTCGCTTTTGCACATCCCCCTGGAGGCCTTAGCCCGTAAAAAAAATGGTCACTTCACGCTCTACTGCGCATGTCTCCTGCAGAAAAACCCTCTGTCCTGTCTTTATCATGTCAGTGTCTTGTAGGATTTCAGCAGATTTCAGGCTCTCCCGGAGGCTTGGTCAATGGCCATAGTTATCCTGCCACTAAAAACTGTTTTACCCACTCCACAAAGCACTAGAAGCAAATCTATTATTACACCAGACTGTTACCGTAAATGTCTGTGTTGACAGTATAATGTTTGAAATAAAACTAACCTTGCATCTCATGAATCGTCGCATGTTGAGGGACTATTTTCTCAGTCCGCTGCTGCCAAGCTTTCTATCAGGAAGTATCGTATTTTCTGGGCTATGAGGCGCTCTGGATTATAAGGCGCACTGTCATTTAATGGTCTATTTTTCGAACTTTTTTCACAAATAAACCGCACTGGACTTTAAACAAAACACAACAGTTGGACGGGTCAGTGGTTTTGTTTGTTTGGCGCGTTCACGGTGACTCTGGGCTTTGTTCAGTTGTGGCGTGTAGGGAGGGTGCTGTCTGGGACCAACGGATTGTCGGCGTGTTCGCAGTGACTCAGTTGTTCAGTCGTGTCTAGAAGTGGCACATTGCACTCGCTTTTCCGGTTCCTTCCTCTGTTCCGTTCCTCGTCGGCGTGGAGTGATGAGTGTGTCTGCGGGTGTTTTTCGCTGCACGGTCGCTGTCTGCTGCGTGTGTGTTTGCGGCTTTGTAGTTTACTGAAGTCGTGCTGGGACACCTGAGTGGATTCGTGTATAGGGCGCTCTGGATTGTGGGGCACACAGTCGTTTTTCGATGGGGTTGGAGGCTTAAGAGCTCGTCTAATAGCTTGGAAAATACGGTACAACTCTCTGCTGCTGCTGCTCAGACATAAATCCTTCTAAGGCAGGGTTGGTTTTACTTCTAAAATTATTCTATCAACACAGACATTCACGTCAACAGTTTGGCGTTATAACTGTTTTGCTTCGGGTGTTTTGTGCAGTGGGTAAGACTGTTTTAGTGGCAGGATAACTATGGCCATTGACATGCACTAGTCTAGCACCAGCGACCTCTGCAAATACAAGGACTGGATGGAATATTTTAAAAAAGCGTCTCCACACGTCTCCAACACTCTGGATCACTAGGAAATGAGGTCCTATGTCCAAAATTCTGGACTGTGCCTTTAAAGCTCACAAGAGTCAATTTTGTGTAATACTGGACTAAACTATTCTTTAATAAATGGTCAGTTTTGGTGTAAGCATGTGGTGAGTGAGAGTGTGTGTGTGTGTGTGTGTCTACTACAGAAGTCACAGCTGGACAAGGGGCAGCCGCAGCTCCACTAAATACACCCTTTGGTCGTCTTATTACGCATTGTTCAAACTTTGTAAAAGACACAACAGTGATCAAATTATAGTATGGAAATTATACATGGAAAAGAAAAAAAGCATTACGGTTTTCATTTCTCATCTTAAAAATGGCACAGGAGGGAGTAAAGCACGGCTGAATGAAACAAAAACACAACTCTACTTCTAATTTTGACAAGGGACCGAAATTGCGCCACAGTTAAAAGCTTAAAAGAGTGTTATTTTAGCCATTTAAACAGCAGGGAGAAGGAAGCCCTGAGATCAAATCCAGCGTCTCCTTTCTTGTGTGCCACTTTACCTCCGCGTTCTAGCTTTTTCTCTCTTCTTTTTTACCTTTTCCTACCCCGTGTAATCACAGGCGAACTCACTTGTGGCCTAAATGGTGCAGGAAATGGCCCAGAGCTTTGAGAGAGTGGACTTGAAGGTTCTGATTCTCGGACGAAAGCAGTTTGTAGATGACTCTGAAAAACACACAGACGCACGCATTACAAAACATTTCCCAATAATTTTTCCCATGGACTTTTCAAAAATCAGGTGTATATTAAAAGTTTGAAAGCTTGCTTATCAGATATGTGTTAACAAATGATCACAAAAGCCATACTTTTATTTAAAATCTGCTTCTGAAACTTCATAAACCACCGAGTTAAAGCGTTAAATTTGTTTTTAGAACCAAAAACTAAACCATATTTGTTACCTCATAGCCGGTTAACCTCTGTAATTCTTCTTTGAAATGTCAAAAATGAAAGGGAAATCTGAATTTGCAGTACAGTGAACGTTGAAGTGAGCAGGACTGTTTCATAAAAATGTTTAACAAGATCATTTTGTGAACATCACCCACTAAAAATGACAGTGACAAGCCTCATGACGATAAGGAATGTAAAGCAAAAGAGGCATTTAATTCTGCAACTGGATAAAACTTTTTGATTGAAAATGTTTTGTAGCTCATCCAAGCTGCTTCTTCAGTTCTGGACAGACGCTGGTGGACACTTGCCTGATTCATCAGCCGGTTTCACTTCGTGGAAATCATCTGACCTCGCAGCATTAGGATTCATTCCCTCGACGGTAGGCGGGTACTCTTCTTATTTAACCAGTCGCTTCTTATTTAACCCAGTCGTGATATATGTAATGCGCCAAATCCCGTAGAAAGAAGGGCAATAACGTCTTTCCTCTTGATAAAATTAACCAAACATTCTCTTTGTTCCGGCTTTAAATCCTCGATCTTGGGAATCGTTGTCAATGCAGAATGTCTGTCTTCGTCTACATCCATCTCGACCGCTTTGTTTACTGTTGTGCTGTACCACAAAAGGGACCCAGACAGGCGATTGAGTTTGACGTCATGGCTTCAAAGTTCTTCGCTGATGGGCCGGTGCGCGGTCTACAACTGCCTTACATCTGCCTGAAGAAATCCAATGTTTTTGCGAGGTCGTTCACATTTCCAATTAAATGTGACTTGTATGTGACTCCAGTGTGAACATTAAACGGCCCGAAAGTGTCCCGCATGTGCACTGGAGACACGACGACGTCAACCGCAGCGAGCGTGTTCTGTGTTTACGGAAGTTGTCCAAACATGGACGCGAGCATTGAGCACCTGGAGATTTTAAAGTTCCTCTCGTACCGGAGTCAGAACATGAACAACTTACTTGTTTTAAGGAGATTTAGAAGGAGAAGAACGAGGTTTTTGGCCGTAGCGTTTTGTGGGACAGCGGCAGCGACGTCCTTTGAAAGGAACGTGTGGATGTGGAGATGTAGCCAAGAGTGGTGAGTGGTGATGTGCTTCACTTCAGTGACACGGAGTTCATTAACCATTTTCGTCTACTTCAGCGCAGAATAGTGACGTTTGTGGCTTGTTGATAACGTGTAGGTCGAATGAATGCGCTTTGGCCGTTCAGACTGAAGTCGCATGTCAAAAGATCAGATATGTATCGATTTCAGGACCACATATCCAAGTGTCCTGGGTCACATTTGAAAAAATCAGATCTGTGTCGTTCAGACTGTCATTAAAAGAGCAGATACAGGTCACATAGAGGCCAAAAAATCGGATTTGGGTCAATCTGAACGCAGCTTAACACACCTACTTGTTGATGAATAATGGTCTGTATTTGTCATTTTCCTCACATGTACACGTACACACAAAGGAATCGAAATTGGACCTGTCCCCTCGTCCGTACATTACAAAACAATACATGGAGAAGACAGGTAGCAGATAGGAATAAACACTGGAGCATAACATGAGGATAGGGGGAGGAGGGGGAAAAAAAAGAGAACAGCCCCCAAACCATGCTCCAGTATCAGTGCATGGTATGGGGAAGTGCACAAAAAAAAAAAAAAAAAAAAAGCACCGCCGCACATCAGCACAGTCAAAACACAGTACAAACATTTCACAGGACTAACACCAGGGTAGGGGCAGGGTGTGGAGTTAACTCAACGTAGGCAGGCAGCCGTCCAGATCCACAGTCTTTGGGCACTGGACACAAACAACAGACCTGCCCACTAGACCGGGGGTTTACATTTGTTTAGAGTTTCTGTTTGTTAGCTTGGTTTATTGAACTGCACTGAGTGGGGACTGTGCCTGAGTCATATTAGCAGAATCATCCAGGCCCCTGCTGGGTGCTTTCACACATCTGAGCTTGAACGGACTATCACTATTGTTTTCCTTGTTTTGATTCTGAGTCTGAGGATGGAGTTATAAATAGGGGATAGGTTTGAGACAAATACGGACAAAGGGAGCAGCCGTGGTATTCGTTCCTAACTGGGTTGGGTGCAAGGCGCATCCCACACCTTCGTTGTTGTATTGTGTTTTTGTGTTGCCTGTAAGTCGACATGTTGTGCCGCGTTTGATCATGTGCTTATGTTGCGGAGGTGTTTTGTTTTTTTTTTGTCCTGGTCCCACACTGTCCTCTCCGGGAGCACAGTGTGGGGGTTGTATCATTTTTCCTCCTCCTCCTCTCCTCATGTCATGCTGTATTGTTTTTCTTAAAGGTGCGCTTGAGATAAGGCTGCAAGACCTGAATTTCCCCTTTACTAGGGAACGATAAAGTAACAATAAAATAAAATAATGATACATAACACTTGTATAGCGCTTTTCAATATACTTAAAGACGCTTCAGATGAGGAGACAAACAAAGGCAAACAAGAGAGAAAGACAGCTAAAAGGGATGGTTTATAGGCCTTTTTAAACATGGGGAGTATGGGTGAGTCTCTGATGTCTTTAGGCAGGGAGTTGCAGAGGGTGGGGGCAGCAGCAGAGAAGGCCGTGTCCTCCCAGGTCTTCTGTTTAGTCCTGGTGGAGGGGGACAGGAGGTTGGTATCAGCTGATCGGAGGGCATAGGTCGGGGTGTGGTGGTGTAGGAGCTCAGAGACAAAGGTGGGCCCCAGATTGTGGAGGGAGTTGTACACAGTGGTGAGGAGTTTGAATTGGATGCGCCGGGGGATTGGGAGGAGGTGCAGGTGAAGAGGCGGGCAGCAGAGTTCTGGACGTGGAGGGATGGGCGGAGGCGAGCAATGTCCTGGAGGTGATAGAAGGCGGTTTGACGTGGTGTTCAAAGGAAAGGGTTTGGTCAAAGAAGATGCCAAGGTTACGGAGGTGGGAGGTAGGGCTGTTGTGGTTAGGGAATTTCTCCTGCGGTGTGGTATAGCAGTTCAATACCGTGGTATGCAGTGCCATAACACCCCCTCCCTCACCCCCCATCTCCCAGAGTTATAATATTTCCAGTGGCTCTGAAAACTCTCTCCGATGATGCGCTTGTTGCAGATGCACATGTGCCTTGGTTGTCGTGTGGATATAGCGTGTGTAGCGTGAGAAGTAACATTTGGCTTTGGATTAAGTGCCGCTGCATCTCTCCAACTCTCACTGTGGCAGCTTGGGTCAGAGTCCTGCACACGGTTGGGTACCTGTGGATTTAAGAGAGCACATGGAGCAGGTGTCCGCAAAGCACGATCGGGTGACAGCAGCGTTAGTCCTGGGTTATCACGGGCGGTAACGGGTGGAATGTTTACGAGTCCGGCCGGGTGCGGGTCTCTAAAACGGACCCGTGCAGGACTCTGAGTCGGGTCACGTTGGTCACATGCAGTGACATCATCCACTGCGGTGGGTCTCTTAGTACCACGGTGATTCATTTTTGCAGTTATTGTGACAGCCCTAGTGGGAGGAGGAGGAGACTGAGGAGACTGAGGAGCCGTCGATGAGAGGGTGAGGTTATTGGGGGTTTTGGTGAGTGTTTTGGGGCCAATAATGATCATTTAAGTTTTGTCGGGGTTGAGTTGGAGGAAGTTAGACTGTAGTCAGGACTTTATTTCGGAGATGCAGTTTGTGAGGGTGGATTGTGTGGCCAGGGTTATGGATTTGGTGGACAAGAAGAGTTGGATGTAAAAGTATCTATCTGTTTATCTAAATGATATCTAAGAATGGGGGACTCTTTACCTGATCCCATGTCTCTGGTCAAACGCAGGGACCACAGAGGCCGGGTGCTCCGACATGAGCGCCACCACCAACTGCAGCACGTCCAGTAGATTCTCATCCTGAAAACATGAAACAGACTGGAATAAACATACAAACTATAACTCACAACTAATGCCAGCGGTGACAGTCTGCGCCGACGCCTCTGCCACCATCACTCACACCTCACAGCACATCACACGTTTGTTTTTCACAAAAACAACTGACTTCTGAAGACTGAGGGATTACACACAAACAGATCTGGTTATGATTTCCATATTCAGTCCTATAAAGGTGAGATATAGCAGCTTTGGCCTGGCCTGTGTGTGCTGATATTCTTTCCAGAGGCGAAACTCAGGAGGATATAGGCCATAGGAGGGAGAATGTAACTTATTCAGAATAATACAAGAATAAATAACGTGATAGAGATAACCTAACACAGTTCAAATGCCTCTAGACTGGAGACGGGAAGCTTAGTTAAGAAATAATAATGATAGTCAAGTTAAAAATCATTGTAAGAACATACACAAATACGAATCATGAGAAGTTTAATTTCTAATAATCCATTTAGTGCAGGAGTTTTCAAATTAGGTGAATATCAGCCCTTAGAGTAGGTAAAGACAGAGCCCATCCCACACAGGCCTGTGAAGTAAATGCATCTTTTGTGTTCCTGGCAATGATGAGTTTCAATAACAACTGATAATATTTTTTTTATATTGTATTTTCATTTTTTGAAGTGCATTCATAAACAATTTTTGCAAAATTCCGCCATTCCGACACACATATTTTCACGGACTTGCAGCGTAAGAGGCACTGTGCATGTGGCCTGTGGGAGGTGGTTTAGTCCTGGTTTTAATCCTGATTTTAGACCTAGTTTAGACCTGGTTTAGACCTGGTTCTGTGAAGTGGGGGGGTGCAAAATGTTTTCTTTTTCCAAGGGAGGGGGGGCATGACAGAAAATAATTGAGTAGAGCTGAATTAATAGGAAGATGGTACAGTTTTGGGCCCCTAAAACCCTGGGGCCCGGGACAACAGACGCCTTTGCCCTTTCCTGTTTACTGCCCTGGTGGCAATACATGCATCACGAATTTCAGACTTCCGGGCATCGCGCAATGCATACTGGGAAGGATTTTCTGAAAAAGTGAGCGTCAAACCGCCATGTTTGATTTACCAGTGGGATGCATCTATTGTCAAAGTCAGTCTTTTTTAATCTTTTGAACCATATCACTTTTGTTTCTGGTTCTGATATTTTCATATCCCGATCTCTCGCTCAGCCTCGGTTATGAATTTAAAAAGCCAACGCCAAAGCGAAAGGCACCAGCTGTTCGCCAAGAAACACCTTCCACTGCAAAGCGACCAAGACGTGATGTTTCTATAAAGTCAGTCAAACAAGAAAGTGCGAGCTCAGTCTGTTTGTCTTCTGCACCTCTCGCTTAACAAACGGGATTTTGCTTTGATGACGCTCCACATACAAAATGTTCTCTGCAAACTCGGGATGATTTCTTAGGCAGCCAAAGGTTTCCTTTTTCGTCCTTCCTGTGGATCAATCCTGCCCATCACCTTCACCTTTCACTATTTTTCAATTCCGTTGGGAAGGGAAACAGTTTGAACAGAGGTTTGCAGTCACACACATCTGATTACCTTTTGCAGTTATGGAGTTCGCAAACTTCCAAAGTCTGTTTCTCGAGCCGTTTTCCGCTGTTAGGATCCAACAACCACACAATTACGATGTCCGAATCCCAAAACTAAAATATGACAATATTAGAACCAGAAACAAAATCGATATGGTTCAAAAGACTTGAAAAGATCGGCTTTGTGAATACACGCATCCCACTGGGAAAACAAAAACGGTTTGATGCTCACTTTTTCGGAAAATCCTTCCCAGTATGCATTGCGCGATAACTGCAATTCCAAAATTCGAGATGCATGTATTACTGCGAATATAGACACATTTTTTTTGTTTAATAATCGTAATAATACTAAAATTTGATATTGTAACAGCGATTAGACTAGAACTAGTGGTGTGTATGTGAAATGCGACACAATACAGGCAGCACAAAGGAAAGCACGGATGTATTTGTACCTTGTTTTGAATTACAGCAACAGCCAGAAACACATTGTAACTCCATTTGAGCAGCCCATAGCGGACATATTGTATTTTATCAGCTGAGAGGAAAGTCTACATGACCCCGGGTTATCATTACAGTGGCTCCAATCTCCCATGAAGTGAATAGGGGGCAGACAAATATGGACCCAGCCTGCACCCGGCCCTACCTCCTGCATCGTTAACAGGTAGTTCAGAAGACACTGCAGCTCGTCCTCTTTCACCCCTCCGTCCTGAAAAAGACAAACATGAGAATTTAAAAAAAAAGAGAGAATCAAAATGTTACACAAAAGATGAATTCTAAGGGGTTATTAAGTGTTAACACGTAACATTTAGATCATCATGTTGGCTTTTATTGTTCTGAAAATGTGAAACGAACATAAACAACGATTAAAATGTTTCCCTTCCCTTTGTTCTTCGCGCTAAGTTACTCAACCTTCAGAGCGCAGAATACAGAGATGGGACCAAATCGTTGTTTTGCAAGTCTCAAATCTTTGACCTCAAGTCCCAGTCAAGTCCCAAGTCAAATACAGGCAAGCCCAAGTCGAGTCTCAAGTCACTGGTCCATAAGTCCAAGTCAAGTCCAATTTGTCTGCTTTAAGCCTAAGGTCTTTAAACCAAAGTACCTTAGATTTTTGCCAATTTATAAGAATTTTAAACTAAATTGTGGATAAAAAGTCATGCTATATTTATATAAGAATTGTTGAAATGCAGATTTGTCCTTTTTAAATGTCTTGTCAAGCTCTTCTTCTTCTCAAGTCACAGGGCTCAAGTCCAAGTCAAGTCACAAGTCATTAAGCTTCAAGTCCAAGTCAAGTCTCAAGTCACTGGTCCATAAGTCCAAGTCAAGTCCAAGTTGTCTGCTTTGAGCTTCGAGTCAGTCCAAGTCTTTAAACCAAAGTATCAAATTTAGTTTAGATTTTAGCAATTTATATGAATTTTAAACTAAATTGTACTTAAAAAGTCACGGTATATTTATATATGAGAATATTTATATAAGAGAAATGCAAATTTGTCCTTTTTTAAATGTCTTGTCAAGCTTTTCTTCTTCTCAAGTCACAGGGCTCAAGTCCAAGTCAAGTCACAAGTCATTAAGCTTCAAATCCAAGTCGAGTCCCAAGTCTTTCTTAGTCTATTTTATCAAGTCAAGTCTCAAGTCCTAAAAATAGTGACTCAAGCTTGAATTGAGTCCAAGTCACGACTCGCAAATCCCCACTTCTGGCAGAATCACACTGTAATCCGCTTATGAAACTACCGCACATCGCATCAGGTTTGTGAAGCTGTAGTGTACAGTTTTGTATCATGTTTTTAGGGGCGTATCGACATCCAAGTGTCCCCGATACGATATCGTCAAGGTATGAACCTCACGGTACGATATTTACTGCGATATCATGGGAAAACTCATGGTATGGTGGGGAGGCTCATGATTAGGGATGTAACAATATCCAAATCTCTCAGTATGATATTTATTGCGATGTTTTGTGGAGGCAAAAAAAAATGTAATATGGTTCTTTTTCCTCTTGAAATGCCTTGACAAGACTTAACTCTTCCCCCTTGGATGCCTACTTGGAACAACCCATACATATATTAGTATGTATGGATTGTAGTGACCCCCACCTATCACAGCCTCTGATTACACGTGAAACACCGAGCCATTTGTAAAGTCGTCAAACCACATCTTTAGTGATACAGCGAAGGTGTCAAAAGACGTCATTAAGGAAACAAGGGAGGGTCGTCAAATGTAGTCTTCATAGGGGAAAGAGTTAATCCAAAGAACTAAGACTTAAAAGTGTTTAGAACTGTTATTTCTTCTTGTAGTCTGCACTGAAATGGAGCAAAGGATCATGGTCTATGTAGTTCTTTTTTTTAAAGCTATTGCTGCACCAAAACTCTTAATTTAAGCAAAGAGACTTGTAATTCGATATATTGTGATGGTCCACGATATTATTGTGAGAACTTTGACGATACGATATCACGATATTTCGGTTATTGTTACATCCCTAATGTTTTTGTTTATTTATTTTGTCGTGTGGGAGCACTGGGTGACGTAGGCTTGTACAGAACCCTACAGCTAACCAGGCACAGATCACTAAATTACTCAAACATGCATGAATGACATCTAACCTAAAACCTCTTCGGGCATGTTTTTGAGGAGGGAACAAAATTATAACAAGGTAGAAAGCTCCAAAAAAGAGAGAATTTTGTTCGTAATACCCCCTCTTTAAAAATACAACAGAGGACAATGGGACTTTGAATAAAACATGACGTTAGTAGAAGCTGGTTTCATTTCCTCAGAAGAGATAAGAAGGTTAGCGGAGACCTTTTAGGACCTGGTGAATCATCAATTCATGACAAAAGTAGCACGGAATCTTTTCTTTTCATAAATTACCCAGCGAGTTTCAAATTGTTGGTTAAAAGTTTTAAAAAGGGAAATCAGCGGGGTAGTTTGTAGGGGCTTATGTAGACTCTAGTGTTATTAAAGGTGCACTGTGTAACTTTTCTCCTGCTTCTCTCCATATGGCTTTGTGTGAAGTGTTCTGGGGAGCTTTAAACCATGTGCTAATGTAGTTCTCCCCTCAATATATGACTAAACCAGGACTAAAACAGGACTTGAGCAGGACTAAGAGAATTGTTAGTATTTGATGAAGTTATTCAATACTGGACTTATTTTGAGCAGCTTGTGCACGTTTGCAAAGCCTATTATAAATTTAAGCCATTATTAAACTTTGGAACGACCTTGTTTAAAAGCCAAAATGATGAAAAAAGTTGGTTTATTTTCAGTTAATTCTGCTAAACTTTTAGAGCTTTAAACCACATTATAGTTGTTTTCTTCTCATTGACTCTCTGAAGTGTTATTTAAAGTGATTCCAAGTGTGGCCCCATCCACACAAGTGCGTATACGAGTTGTTTTCGTTGCGGATGCAGTGTTCCTCTACACTAATCTGATGGAAGACGGCTCCAAAGACAGGATGCTCTGGTGCCGCGCAGCTCCCACGAATTCGTCTAAGTACGGATCTGATCTGGCAATGTGTGGACGCCGGAAAACCTTGATGCGCTGACGTAGGAGCTCCAGTTGCATCCTTATTGGACCACGTCACTGTGACTTGCTCCTTCCTGATTCACTGGGTTCGTGGCATCAGTCATGTGACGCTATTGCGGAAAACAGTTTAAACAAACCATAGACAAATGGAAGTCCCAGTCCACACTCTGAGCCACCATGTTTGTCTTAAAATTTAGTGTTGCGTTGTCGTCGGTCCACAAATATACTGTTTTCACGCTTGCCATCCTCCTTGGCTCAAAATCAGCTGCTGCAACTTTAGACACGGTGCTCCATTCTCTTGTTTTTATCGACGATGTGACACCAGCCTAGTCTCGCGTTACTGTGTGGAGGAAACTTTGATTGTCGACACAGAAACGAGGTGTCTTGCAAATTGTTTCCGATACTTTGATTCGTTCCAGTGTAAATGTAACCTGAGAAAATCCTGACTGTCTTCTTGAGCCATACTGAGTGTGAGGTGATGAAGTACCTTTAGGAGGAGCTGTTTGAGAAAGAGAAGCATGGACCCCCGCAGACACAGGACTTCCTTCTGGCTCGGTCTGGGTCCATCTACAGGAGAGAGAGGAACCAGAGGTAAAACTGAGCAATTATTTTCATTAAAGATCCTGCATTACACAAAATTTAACCTCATGAGCTTTAAGATAACCTCATCAAAAACAGACCTGGGCTTGTGTTTTGTTTCATTCACACGTGTTTATTATTAATTTGTCTACATCTCCAAACCTCAAAATGCTCTGTTCCACCTGGTGATGTCATGTAGTTGTAGTTTTTAATATAACAGCTCCTTTTACCTTTAGTTCAGTAGATGATTCTAACAGAGCAGACTGTAAACTGTTTTGTAGTCTTTATTCTGAGTCAAAAGAGAACATACGCCGCTGTGGATCCTACTTGGAACACTGAGGGATTACACAGATATAAGGACACGTGGGAATATAAAAGAAAGTACTATGATTTAATGTTAAAAATCACATTCTGTTGAGTGTTTTTTATTATCATTGTTGTATCAGAATCTAGTCTGATTCATCAGCCGGTTTCACTTCGTGGAAACTGTCTGACCTTGCAACATTAGGATTCGTTCGCTCGACAGGAGGCTGGTACTTTTTTTAAATTTAATCGCTGCTCTTTGGTCATGATGTATGTAATGCTCCAAATCTCGTAGGAAGAAGGACAATAAAAGGGCAATAAAGTCTTTCCCCTTGATAAAATCACCAAACATTCTCTTCGTTCCAGCTTTAAATCCTCGATCTCAGGAATTCGTTGCCAACACATAATGTCTGTCTTCGTCTACATCCATCTCGACCGCTTTGTTTACTGTTGTGCTGCACCACAAAAGGAACACAGACAGACGCTTGAGTTTGACGTCATGGCTTCACAGCTCTTCACTGATCTAAAACTTCTTGCAAACAGTCTAGTGTAGGGGTGTCAAACTCAAATTCACAGAGGGCCAAAATTAAAAACTGTGGGTCAAAATTAAATATTTATTGAAAAATTTCAACAACATCTGTGCATGGTTTCTCTTCTTTTGAGATATTTAATGTTAAACTTTTTCTTATTAAAATTAATGTTTAATAATAGTTTTGTTTAAACAATGAATCCAGAACAAGCATAATAAAAAAAATAATAATTTAAATAAATAATGTCTCTCTAGCCTATCTGTAGCTGCCAGGCCAGCTCTAAAATCATATTTGAAATGATCTTGCAGGTCAAATATAATTATATCGCGGGCCAAATTTGGTCCCCAGGCCTGAGTTTGACATGTATTCCGATTCCTGCCCTAGTTGCTGGAGAGAAATTAAATTGAATCGGAGGCACTAGGTGGTGCCTGGCTAATCAGAATTTGCAGTATCAAGTCTATTCCTTAATATCAAAATTGATTTGAAATTTTAGTATCATGACAGCACTAGTGCTTTCTGTTTGTGTTTAAAATCTAATTAAATATTACTTTGCCATTTAACACACTGACACAGGCACACAGACCATTTAAATTCATTCCTCCAAAGTTTTCCTGAGGATTGGATGTACACCTCTGGATTAAAACACCAAAGCGTAACATATTGTGAGTAAAATAATGTGATTTGGAGCAAAGTAAAAATTTTGGAAGAAGAAATTTTACTTTTTTGTTTCATGGTAACGATTATAAGTGTATGTCGTCTGTTTGAATAACCAAAAATGAAGGAATTAGTGTGGCTCTGAAAACTTTTTGACTCAGTTGTTGTCTGCCCTTTAGTCCTGGAACAGGGAGCGGTGTAACTGTCAGTATATGTGCTGTAAATTGGGGACCACCTTGAGGACACACAAAGAACACGAGCTACAGCGTTCTGTGGTGGCCCCGTCTGTCTAATTGGCCCGGTGCAGCTGGAGAGATGCAGACCGGGAAAGACAAAAAATGGACAATAACACAAGATTTGGTCTCCTCCAGCGCATTATTATCGTCCAATCAGAGCCCAGGAGTTGAAAGGTACATGATGTCCAGACTCACAACACCAAATGACTAAGAAACATTAAAGGTCTCGAGTCCGTCCGACCAAGTCCCACCAAAAATACACAACTTTTACTGTTTGTTATGGTCACCCTAGCTTGAACACGCCTCAGTACTGAAAAAATATCATAATTAGGACAAATCTGTACTAGAGATAGACCGATATAAATCCAATAATTGCCAATTTTACCATATTCGGCTCTTGGCCTTAAGGGGATAGGTTCAGGTTTTTTGACACGAATCTGTATGGCATCCCCGTCAGCAGTGTCGTGCATCCACACTGACTTACCCCCGACAGCATCCGGTGAGCCGAGATACTTACCGGTTTTGGTGATGACGAAAGTAGTCCGGCAAGTTGGCTGGGGACATTAAAATAAAGCTTTTTTCTTCTCAAAACAATATGTGTTCAAAAGAGTGATACATTTGCATCACAAAACCATCGTCCTCCAAAAAGTCAGACCTCATTATCGCTTGGCACTATTTTCTCTTCGTTAGTATCACTGCGCGCTGAAATGTGCGTGGAGGTTCAGCCAGATTTTTGTTGTTACAGCCTGGATAATCAAGAGTCCGCACCATTTTTTAGATATATTCTTAAATAGCTTATACAATCTTATATACTTATCGCTCTAGCTCTCACGTTAGCTCTCTCACTTCGCGGCGGTCTGCGCACGTAAACACTGCCGGACAACTGAAGAAAGTGATGGATCCGTGCACGGCTGTCTCCTGGTGGCAGCGCGCAGTGATACGAACGGAGAGAAAATAGTGCCAAGCGATTATGAGATCTGACTTTTTTGAGGACAAAGGTTTCGTGATGCAAATATATCACTCTTTTGAACACATATTGTTTTGAGAAGAAAAACGCTTTATTTTCATGTCCCCAGCCAACTTGCCAGACTGCTTTCGTCAGCACCAAAAACAGCCAGTATTTCAGCTCATCGGACGCTTTCGGGCGTAAGTCAGTGTGGATGCACGACACTGCTGACGGGGATGCCATACAGATTCATGTCAAAAAACCTGAACTATCCCTTTAAAGCTACCATCTGTAATTAGATTGGCTGACCCGCCCCGTTGAATTCTCACATATCACAACGAGATGCTGTCTATGGCTACGTTCAGACTGCGGCCTAAAGTGACCAAAATCTGATTTTTTAGCCACTATGCTGCTGTATTTGATCTTTTAATGACACAGATCACAGATTTTTTTCAAATGTGACCCAGGCCACTTGGATATGTTGTTAAAAGTCCGATGTGCATGGAACTACGATACCCATAATGCACCTGTTTGTAGTTCCGGTACGCTCGGGCCTCAAAAGTTCCACTCTCTTGTTGTTGCATAAGTAGAGGAGCCTTGTGCTGGTCCCGAGCCCCTGTGCCTTTTTTTGTGTGTATATGTGCTGTGTGCGTTCATGCAGGGTGACTATTGTTTATAATTGAGTGTGAATGTATGTTTAGTTTGTTAGTTTATTTGAAATGTGTAGTTGTTCATTTCATAACAAGTTAACGCTATTGCTATTACACGGTGCAGCGCTCTTGTGGTCAACAGGGGCTCCACGTGCAATTTATTTACTGTGTTGGAGCGCCCACTTGTGGTTCTTCTGTATAATAGCAGCAGCAGTTTTTTCCCTGTTCATTTCATATCGTTTGTTTGTTCTCTAATGTATATATTTTTGTTGTTTTGTTTTTCAGATAACCACACCCATACATAAACACAAACACCACACATGTAACCATCAATAAACATCATCAAATATCACCTGTTCCCTCCTCTTCAATAAACATCTACCTTTTTATCAGTGGAGTTGCCTGTCCTTCTGACTGAGGACAACTCAGTAATCAGTGCATTTCAGACGCACACAGGACCTCACATATATAGCCCTAAAATCGATACAAATCCGATCTTTTGACATGCGACTTCATTCTGAACGGTCAGGTCACATTCATCCCACCTACACGTCAGGCTCGGAGTCTCGTCAGTTGAGGGAAAGTGAGGTTAGTGAGTTTATTCAAATTTGGGGAGATCGCTGAATTCAGGCCAAATTGGAGGAGTCTTATTGGAACCGGACGGTTTTTGAAATGATTGCCAAAGAAATGTCCAAGCGCAGTCCTGGCCCTACTTTAAAGTGAGACGCTTGTCCCAGCTAAATACGTCCAGCCTATTGACGTCTATTCCACTCAGCAGTCGTGCCTCTGCCACACTGAGGAGCTCATGAGCGTGGTCCTGGTGCGTCCCCGGGGCCCGGGGCCAGCACACGCATTTATAACTATGTGCTTATGGAGGCTCTTGTGGTGCCTATTACAGAGAGAGGGGATCAGAGTTTGTTGGGTGTATTCCCAGAATGATAATACAACAGGCCACTGTCATTAAAATACATTGTGCTGTGCTGTGTGCTGCTGCAGCTAAAAATAACACTCACATAAACACAAAGTGCACAGTTACTTCATAAGAACATGACACAATAGAAGAACAAAGTAATTACTCAAGTAAGAATAAACATGTATTTAGACAAACTACCAAGATTAAGTGTTTAGAAGTATCACCTGATTTATAATTTGAGGTTAACTGGAAGGACAAAACATGAAATCTGGTACTTTTAAACTAAATCATATCTGACGGAGCGCTGCAGGAAACACAAAAGTTCATGCTACTTGGAGACAAAAACTACCGACCCAATTTAGGGCACTACTATTTGAATTTGAATCATTGTTTTTACCAAATGTGAAAAAACAAACTCTCTTGGCAATAACGTATTAGTAGTAGTAGTTTATTTGGTAATTTTGCAGCACTACAAAACAAAAACAAAAAAAACATAGACTACAATCCCATAGATCATGACCGAAAGGGTTTAGGCTGAATTAAATTGTACTTATAAAGCTTCACCCTATTAAACAACGACAGAATAAAAAAAAAAAAAAAGCAGCGTATGAACAGCAAGTTTGCATTTACAATTTCACGTATGACTTACTGTAAATATAAGAGATAAAATATGAAGTAAACTAAACTGAACGCATTATTGATTCATTCCAGAGCTCTATATCTTTCAAAATGTAAAGCTTTATACACTGTTTTAAA